TGTTATTTTTGATTACTGGGGTCACGTGCATGCAATAAGAATGGGCCAGATAATGGAATGCTATGGAAAGGAGTTGCTAGCGTTTTTGGCTAATTGCAGAAGGATTGTGAAGGCTTAGCTCTATTTGGGGCAGAACTAAGAGAGGCGCTAATGACTGTCAGTCTACAATCACTTTGCACCGATGGGCATGGCCAGTTTAGTGACTCAAGAACTTCCATGCAAATTAACACAGGCGCAACTTGATAATTGTTATATGAGCAGCCCGATGTAACAACATGTTTGGCTCACATGCATTTTGTATGAAAGCCTGTTTCTGCAAGGTAGGAGGAAAAAGGACTTTTTATCCTTCTGTTTTGGGTGACTTACTGAGACTTACTAGGACAAGTGAATTTTTAAGACGTTTTCAAGATTTTGACTTAGCAAGTCAAAAAATTAGTTATGGCTTGTCACAAAAGTATGTGATTATTTCAACATAATCAATGATTATTTTGCTACAAAGTAGCAATAAAATCTGTTATTCAATACCAATATTCCGTGTCTATGTAGTTGGTCAAATCTGCATCAGTGAGCCAGTAAGCATGCTTGTTCCAAAATTCAGATTGCTGATAAAAACAAGGTTAATATCTGTATAATGTCTGTAACCTATCAAAAAAGGAAGGAAGAAAGTGCATTGTGGAATTTTCTTAATTTAAAACTTTATTTTTACTATAGATACATGATATATTTCATGCTTTCTATAAAATAGTGTGGGTATAATAAGGTATCGGTATTGGTTTCAGTGTCAGAAATTTTTTAAACAGTACACAATGATACTTAGGATTTTATTCCAAGTATTTTTTGGCCTTTTCTTTTGGTCCATTAGTCATGAAATGTTCATGCAATAGAAAGGGCAGCTAGCGTAATAAAATGCTGTTAAAAAAATAACAGCCATACAAAAAAAAAAAAGTTGCGAGGCTTTGATATGACAATGACGATATGTATTCACTGTGTTTATGGCAGAATGCACAGGACTACCAGACCGCAGTAATGGCATGGTAAACAATAAATAGCAGTAGATGCACTTCACTGACATCATGTAAAAGTGTTTGTGCGTGTGTGTGAGAAAATTAGCGTGTACGCGTTACTTTTCATCTGCAATCCATCTGCCAGTCAAGCACTGATCTTCTCCTTACAGCGATTCTGAGGAGGCAAAGCAGTCTGTCCTCCAGCATGGTTTGATGATGTCACTGGTGAAACCGAATGAAGATGAGTGTGTGAGAGCTGGGAGAATGAGCAGGAGGCAAAGAGGGCGTGTCGCTCAGGAAAGGAACATTGTGTCTGTGTGAGGGCCTTGGGTGTGGCCAGACTTCTTAATGGAGGGAGAGAAAAAGAGAGGAAGAGAGGAAAGTGTTTTGCCTTTTCATCTGCCTCTCTGAGATCCTGTCTCACTGTGGTTCACTGACTGTAAAGAGCCTGTACATTTTTTCTCAGTCTTTTGTCTTTTATATACTATCACTTTCAATGTGGTTCCTTTTTTCCAAGTTTCTCTTTATTATTTTTTGACCAGACATGTCATGTGTGTGTGTGTGTGTGTGTGCGTGTGTGTGTGTTGATGTATGAAGATGAAGATGGGGTTTTATAAAAAGATGTGCTAGTGTGTGGCATGTGCTCATTTAGGCCACACAGGGAAAGTTCAAAGAAAAAAGCTAATAAGACTTTCTGTCTTACTGTCTGACTTTCACTTAAGTATATTTTTTGCTCTTCACGTCTCATGTCATTGTTATGTGAGTTTGATGCAGTGCCCATATTTTCACTTACGTACAGTTTTGCACTGGTTTTATCCATTCTCAGTATGCATGTCTGTGTTTAAGCACCCCAGGGCTGTTATTCTTTCTCTCTCTGATCTGAGGGAGCAAAAGTACATCATCTACATTCTGCCTGTCACATGAGAGCAGAGATGGTTTTTTCCTCCTAATGGCCCTGCCATTACACACACATGCACACACATGTCCTGACACTGCCGCTCAGTCAAATCAGAACAGAGACACGTGTAATTACATGCTTGCACAGCGAAAAAGTGATTCTACATACAGTGTCTACTGTTCATAAGTAAGAAAACAGCCCAGAGTCCAGGACTCTATTCGTATTAGAAGACAATATTACAATATTTCAGCATTATAATGACACATTTTATTATTGTGATAAATAATATGATTTTATGAGCATCTTGTGGATATCTTCAGTACTTAAGGAATACTGACCATCTGCATTTTCCATTACAAAGAGAGCATGTTAACTGTGGTAAAGTTTGATTATATTGCAGAATAATCTGTGAAATGTTGAATAAAAATCATTGTACACGTTCTTGATGGCATTTTTTAAGTGTGGCACTGCTAGTCCATTATCTCTGTGTGTCCAAATGTACCTGTATCGGATGATGATATTTTGACACACAGACATAATGGAGATTTTTGAATATGTAGTATAAGTAATTCCGGTGAAACTGCATTCATTAGCGATGAGTTTCTAATTTCTTGTTTCCAGAGTCTCCTACACACATGCACACACCTTTGACCAGCCCACCTGGTTAGCTGGAAAAGTTAGATGACTCAGTCTGCAGGCTGCACTTATTCACTCATTTTCCTGTGTCTGTGGACTACCCTGTCACATTCCTGTCTTTTTCCATGTGTGGACAAGTTAATGGCTACACCTAACAATTACTTTTATTCCTCTGAAGTGTTTCATTTTAACAGCCCACTCTTCATTACAGTAATCATGTACCTTCTCGATTGTTGCAGACAGGGCTAATTATTACACTCACAGGCCACTTTATTAGAAACATCTGTTCACCTTATAGAAAAGCCCATCTGTTTTCCTGCATGTCCAAAGTTTTGCACTGGAGCTGTGAATCCAGAACTTTGATTATGTTTGAACTGCTCTAACCTCATAGTTTCACTGTCAAACCTCAGACACTAAACAGGGCAGAACAATTGAAAGATTTAAAATGTAATGTTTAATGTTTTGTAAAATGTACAAATAATTTATTTTCTCCACAATTGTTCTCTGAGTGTTATTAGCGCTCAAGTAGTAGTATTTCTATGTTTAGTTGATAGAGGAGAAACCCACACCAGCAGGAGTTAACGAATTCCTATATACTCACACACACACACACAGGAATGGTCATTGCTTTAGATGTGTGTGGACAAGAAAGTAAAAGGAGAAAGAAGAGTAATATAGCAGATATTTAATTATGATTAATTATTTATTTATCGGTGTTTTTTAGTGATGTTACATGTCTACCCCTTACATGTCCACACCTTTTCGAAAAATGAACAATTTAATTCAAACTGACATGCTGTCATTGTAGCCTCTTTATATTACTAAGACACCATGATGAAGTCGTTTGATTACAGTGCAACAACTTTAAAACCGTCTGTAATCTGATGAAACCATCAAACTGCTCTATTTCTGACTACAGTTTATGTAGTGCAGATCATGTCTTAAATTATTTTATTATGCTCTGAGTAGTGAATGTGAAACTGTAGTGGGAAAAAAACTCAAAAGGCTGGGGTTGTGTGGTTTTTGCTTTTCTTTAGAAGGCCAGACCTGATATTTCTGGAGAACAGAGATAAATGTAGTAGAAATGTAACAATGAGGAGACGTTGTAGTGCAAAACAGAAAAGAAAGTATATGAAATTCGCTTTGAGGAAGGAGTTTCAGATATGATCTTCCTCCTCAATTTCAGTCATTTTCTAACTCCATTAATGGAATACTTGCCTTGCTGTAGAATCCCTTCTCTCGTCTTTTGTTTCCTCTCTTTGTCACAGAAGTCATCTTTTGTGTATGATTGCTTATGTAAGCTTATATATGCTGTAACATGTATTTAAGCAGCATTGCTTTGCTGTTTTGAATAGCTGGCATGAGCATTGCTAAAGGCTGTTTGTGTTGCTGATTACAGGCCTGTACAGTTTAGTTTGTCATTTGATGACTGGAAGCGCATTGATACTTGTTATATAAGATGTTGGAATGCAGAAGTGATTTTCTTCTTTTGACCATTTACTATAAATTTGTTATGACTCCCAGCCATCGTCGCCCCTTCTCCTTACAAATTTGCCATGCATCGCTTTTTAAAGATGGCATATAGTCAAAGTCAAGTCAAAGTTTATTTATATAGCACTTTTTACAACAGCCGTTGTAACAAAGCAGCTTTACAGAAAAATCTGGGTCTGAGCCCCCATGAGCAAGCCAATGGCGACAGTGGCAAGGAAAAACTCCCTAAGAGCAAGAGGAAGAAACCTTGAGAAGAACCAAGACTCAAAAGGGGAGCTCATCCTCCTCTGGTCGACAATGGATAGCAAAACAATAACACAAGCAAAATGAACAGAGGATAAGATTTTAAGATTAATATAAAATATTAAAATACAGGAAAGAGGAAAAACAGGTGAAGCAATGGCTATGATTAAATAAATAATATAGGTATAAATAAGTATCAGTATTTTGCTACTATCAGCAAAAAATGCTGGATCAGATGTTGAAGGTAAAGCATGTAACAAATCCATCCTGAAATAGCACAATCTCACACCATGTGATGTCATGTTGTTAGCTGTGTATGTCTTCCTGTGAGGTTGCAGAGTGTTTGAGTAGCATGATTTTAGATGCTCATCTTACGTGAAGTGCTTAAATACAATATAGCTCATTTTAAAGCTTAGTATTTTTTATAGAAAATATATCATAATGGTTTGGCCATGATAGCTTATGTTGATGGGCTAACAATAGACTGTTGGACAGCATTGAGGGTGCACTGTCGCCTGCTACTTTGAGCTCCAAGGCCTTGAATTGGTTTTGAAATTTCACACCCAAATAAATACGTTCTGATTTTTTCACATTTAGCCCTAAATTTCTCATGGTTGTCCTTACAAGATCACGTCTGGCTCCCCGAGACTAGCTCTCCTGTTCTTTACTTTCTTTTTTCATCTTATTTTTCATCTCATTCATTTGAGATTATTTTCTACCTTTTACAGGATAGCCGTAAGCTCGCTGTGGCTGACTACAACCAGAATCTAGTTACTGGGACTACGAACAAGATCGCCAACCAGGTACATCAACACAAACGCACACTTTCAGCACAAGATGCCCAATAAAAATGCAATGCAGCCAGCCACATGTACTGAGAATGTAATTGTAATACATTAAAAGTAAATATATTCTATGTACACTTTGGACCCATTGCCAACATAGTGCAATATATTCCATTGTTCTGTGGATAGCCATTCCTATCCTGATTAGACATTCATTACACAACAACATACATACCATATATACCACCCTCCATAATTACTGGCGTTTCTTGATAAGATGAGCCAAGAGGCCATGATAAATGTCTTAGTTGTTTATTAGCTTGACTTCACGCTGAAAGTATGGGAGACATTTAACGTTGTAGTGATGTAAAATTATTTAAAGAGAAAAAATCTGGAGGGCACTATAAGTGCTGGTTACATATAAAATATTGCACTATTTATCCTTCAAGCTAACTACACAGATCCAAGGCAGCCAGCTGCGAAAGCCTGATTCCAGCACGCTCTTAGGAGAGAAGATAGAGGTGATCAAGGTAAGTTTTAACAGGTTCTTGTTAACGTGCTGATATGTGTGCATATGTATGTGTGTGCTTATTTGTGTTTTGTGCTGTAGGTGTATCTTGAGGGAGGCAAACAGGAGCAGCAAAGCGTGGAGATGTTGACTGATGAGCTGTCACAAATACAGGAGGTCAGCACAGTCATCTTATACTTGTTCTCGGAAGTGAGTGAGAGAGATAACTTGTGTGAAATAATAATGTGTGTTTCGTCTTAGGTGAGGTATTGTCTGAAGACTCTCAGGGAACAAATGGCAGCCAGGCATAACAGCAACAATAATAAGGTACCACATACATTGTTTTTGTTTTGCTATTATCACTGTATTAGATGTTTTTTTGGCTGTGCAAAAAGTTGTATTTGTTATGTCTTCAAGGGAAAAAACTAGGGGTACAGGTCTGGGACTGGCTGATGTTCATTTCTAACACACTTTTATGTTTATGTTTTGTGAGGATTTGATTGCATTTAGCCACAAGAGCATTAGAGAGGTCAGGTACTGATGTTGGATTATTAGTTCTGGATCACAAATTACACTCCAACTCAACTCAAAAGTATTGGATGGAGCTCCATCACTCCAGAGAACACAGTTCCACTGCTCCACAACCCAGTCTTTAGGAGACTTTTACTCTTCTACTTGGCACTTGGCATTGAGCTTGGTGATCTTAGGCTTGGATACAGCTACTCCAGAGCCTCTAATTCTGTTAGCAGTGCTTTTCTGTGGACTTTATACAAGCTGTTTGTGTACAATTGAACACCTTTATCAAAATTTGTGTTACTTAAATTAGCTGAATTAATTAATAAAAAGGGGTGTCCACATACGTTTAGACTAATAGTGTACCTAAAAGCATTCATCCAATGAGCTGTCTTTCATTCTAGTTTCCAGCCAATGGCATCAGAGTCAGCGTACCCATCAACAAATCACCTGTCTCCATCACCAGTGTGGATGGGCCCGTCTCCGAGAGCCAGGTAAACTGTTTGTCACATTCTGCTTCCTAATTCTGAATCTTTCAACGGAAACAGAGTAAACACAAAAGCAATGTGGAAGAAAATATCGCATATGGGTCAGTTTAGCAAAGGAGGACGTTTGAACATTTGGCAAAAAACAGTTTACATTCTGTTATTCTTGCCACTGTATTGAATAAAAGTCATATTAAATTATGGGAAAAAACTCCTGGGCCATAACAGCCTCTTATTGTTCTCTAATACATTTCAGTTTATATTAGTATCATTTTTTGTACACTTTCTTGTGTTTAGATGTCTATCCTGTTGTGAACATAAGGCTGTCTGAAAGAAATATTTTGCAATGAACTGTAGATACAAAAAACAAGTGCGCAAAAAAAACTGATATAGTTACATCACATCTTTACATAAAAACAGCACGCTTCAAGGCTCTCTTAATATTTACAGAAAATAGAACCAAAGGACTGGATTTTATTCACTTAATATGCCTCTTCAGTTTTTAGAATATACAGTCATACACAGAAGTTTGAACACTAGGTCAAATTACATAGTTTTTTAATTTTCTAAGTGAAAACAAAGGAACACACTCAAATATGGCACTTTAATAGTGCTTAAATAGTTTATATTGTAAAAAATAAAACAGAAAATATAGAATGTGCCATAACATTTGCACAGGCCTCATTTTATGTTTTATTTTTTTCCCTAATATATTACATTCAGCAAATAATAACAAAGTTAAATGTGCAGACGTGTGTTCTCTGTAGGGCGTTTGCACTGATGCTGCTTTCAAGTGGTCTCAGTTTTATTGGAAAAATTAGTTTCTCACCTGGAGGATCCACATTGAAAGCCATTTGAAGTTGGATGGTAAAATTGGGTATGTCGGCAGCACATGCTGGCAGACTTGTGATGTCAGTGTTATTTTTATCATGGCAGAAGACTAAAGAGAATGATCAGACTATGGATTGCAGTTAGATTAACTGTACAAATATAGTAAATGGTAATGGTAAACTTCAAACATGTACAACCCACATGCTTCGTTTAAGCTCAGAACATCAGTGCAAGCCAGCTAATAAACTGCAACACCCATTTCACAACATCAGTGTTCTGTTTATCTCTCATATAAACCAAATGAATGTGCACATTGAGTGAATGAGTTCCTCCTCTGAGAAAACTACCTTCCCACTTGCACTTGTAAGCAGCATTATTTTCACTTCAAAATTCAACAAAACATGGATTTTGACCAGAGGTGCCCAAACATTTGCATATGGTTGTAAATCTTTTTTAAATTATTAAAAGATGTCTCATTTTTAAGACATTTTTAACAGAACTGGCATGTTTTTGCAGCCAAATGATTTTCTGATGCTAACATCTTTTGCAGTTGTTAATTTATGAAATGGCAACAACTAATAACAATAAAAAATGTACAGTGATGACTATCAAAATAAAGTTAGGGCTTAAATGTTTGCAAAACCTGGTATTCCCAGTTGGTCTCCCAAACAAAGTGCTAACCAGGCCCCACTCTGCTTAGCATTTGAGATTCCATTGGAAAAAGCCTGCCCAGCAATATATTTATTTTTTTGATAGTTCTTTTTATTTTAAAGTTTATACTTACTGTTTAATAACATGCTTCTCGGCACTGAACGTGCAGCATTAAAAGTGTATTTGGCCACACCTCTCAAACACAACCCACAATATCATGTTTCGTCAGTGTTGGAGTGGACTGAGTGCTTCAGAGAGTACAGTGTGTAATATGAGCCTTTCCATTATAATCCATTTATTTCTCAGCCTCAGCTCAGCTCAACAAGAGTGAAAGACTGGAGTCGTATTACACTGTGTGACATCTGAAATGCCACTGAGTTTCGCTAATGACATTTGTTTGACATGGGGTTTATGTACCAAAAACAGTCACAAATAATTTTTCTGTGACTACTTTCTAACCTCTGTATGCATTAGAATTAAACAGGCTGTTTTTGATCCTTTGCATTTAAGACTGGTATATGTAAATAATCTCTGTTCTGATTGGCTGTCCTGTATTGTGACTTACTCCAAAAGCAGTCTGGGTTGAAACACTCCTTATAACTTCGGTGTGAATGGGTGGAGCTGAACTGCTATAAGCTGAATAGGCAGATACATATATAAATATGTTAGTTTGATAAAATCACAAAAACACAAGATAGAATGCTTTTGCAGGTTAGTTTGCATAAATATGGACTGTTTGGACTGTGGATATGTTTTTAGTAAAGGTTACATTTTAATAAAAAAAATACAATTTCAATATTTCATTTTTTGCCCCTTAAAGGGCCCACCTTTTTTTTTTAAATAAAAGAGTTTGATGCAGTGTGCAAACATTGTTAAAGTTTCAAAATACACCATTCACTCCTCAGTCCATGTATGGAAACTAGGGTACAGTCTTAAAGGTACAGTAACTTGAATTCTGAATAGAGTTAAACCTGTCTTATTCTAAGGGATGAAACAACATTGCTAAATGGTCATGGAAAAAAATAATTATGTATGTTTTGGTACATAAACCCACAAAAAAAGTAAGTGGACCTTAGGGGGAAAAATAAAGATATACATGGGGGAAATAAACATAAGATGTATCATTTAATATACTGCTGCTCTCCTAACAAAACCCTGTATTTCAAAAATGTTTACTTTTAAAATGTAGTCAGAAAAAGCAGTTAAAATGTAGTTTTTCTAGTTGATAACAGTTTATTGAAGGGCAACATTCATAAATCTAAGTGATACCTTCCTAAGTCTTTAATGACGACTGACGTAAACCTAAATATTAAATGGAAAAATGGTCCTATATAAATACATTATATAATTAATAAACATAATTAAAAGAATAGAGAAAAATAGAGAAAAATAAAAAATAATCTTTCAATCTTTTAATCAGGTTATCACATTCACACAAAATAACCTTACATGCACACTAGGACAAAAGCTATAGTGTACCGTCAAAGAACATGTGGAACAAGGAACTATTATTTCTAGGTGTAAGAAATATATTCTTAAGCAAAATATTCTGTATTAAAAGATTGAAATTCGATTACAGGAGATAACGTACATCCCTTTAGCATAATGTGTAATATGGTTATATAATATATTACACATAAAGAACATCAAGCTGAAGAATACAGACTGTATGTCTTTCGTAAAGACAGTTTTATGAATCTTTTCTGAACCTCCATGTTAATTCCACAATGTCTCTCTTTGCTTTTCTCACTTACACAGACACACTAACACTATCTGTACACTAACATGTGAGTGAGTAAGCATACACACACTCGCACAGACACACACACATACTTTTTGCTTCTCTGTGAAAAGTCACACCTATGACATTCTGTGAAGCATCTCAGGCCAAAGCTGCGTTTAGCTCAGTAAACAATGTGCCATCTCCTCTGACAACCTGCAGCGACCTGTTTTCTCATTCTGTCTCTTAAATAAACACACACAAACCCCCCCCAACACAGACATGCACACACACAGACACACACTCTGTGTGGCTTTCTTTCAGTGCACTCTTTACCTCACATCCTTCTCATTGTGAGGTGATCTCTGAACATGCACACTGAATGTTGCTTTATCATGCTGACTAAGTAGCCACCTTTAAGTGTTTTAGGCCTACAGGAACATAGATGTGAAAACAGTCCATAAAGCATATAAACGCAGTTTTATTTTATGGGTTTATAAGTAAACATACCATTCTTGGTTTTTAGTGAAAGAGGAGGTGTAAAAAGGAATAACACAAAGTTCCAGTCAAAGAGGCCATTATGTACAAGTTATTCATCTTTCAGGAGATTGGACATAAAATAATCCACTTGCTTAAGGAAGGGTGAAAGGCAAAGTATTTAAAAAAAAACAGGAGGTTCCAAAACTGGAGTTCAAGAAATTATTAAGACATACAGAGCACAAAGAGCTGTCAAGAAGCTGTTATTGAGGAAACTCAGATGGACTGTCCACCCCAGAGTCCAAACCTCAACATCACTGAATGTGTTTCAGTGTTAATTGGAAGCTGAGAAGCAGAAAATGCAACCAACTTCTAAGACTGAACCTTGTGGAAAAACATCCCAGCAGATTTCTCTGAAAAACTGAAAGCAAGTCTCCTGAACAAGAATTGAAGCCATCAAAGGGTGGACACTACATGCTGAAATAATTGATATTATATTTAGTTTTTGAGGGCTTTTTTCTGATGCAGAAAAATGAACTTGTATACAACAGCCGTATTGGCTGGAAGTTAAATAAATGAAGGGTGCTCTTGGACTTTGGCACAGTACTGTACCTGTGGTAGTTTTTAGTCATAGAGGAGGTGAATAATGCCTATGTAAGATTTACTGCACCGTCCTTTCTTTTGTACTCTACGGCAGACAAACAAATATTATGGTGAGTATTTTGGTGTGAGTTACAGATATAATTAATTGTAAGAGTTGAAATAGACCAAAAATAAATTCATTTTTTCTTTCTCTATGTGTATATTCTGTTTGCTTATGTCAGGAGCAGGAATCTGTGCAGTTGAGAGAAGTAACCAAGCGTCTGTACGCTCAGCTGCAGGAGATGGAAAAGAGACACCAGGAGGAGAAAGAGACATTGCAGGTCTCTGATATACAAACTCTCTTCGCATCACCTTCACTACCGTTTAAATGTTTATCATACAAATAATATTACTGATATTTCATACAATAATAACTTACACAGTGTATTGAAATACTATCAGCGACACCAGAAAGTTTTTTTTAAGATAGAGGAAGGAAGAAAAAGAAAGAAAAGAAGGAAGGACAAAGGAAGGAAGGAAGGAAGGAAGGAAGTAAGTAAGTGGTTTGAGCTAGATTCCTTGCATTAGGTGAAGAAAAAAATTAGCATTTCCTGAAGGAAATAAAGTGCTTGCAAGGCAAGAAAATGATACTCATGAAAAGTTTCTACAAAGTAAATGAAAGAAAAAAATGAGAGATTTCATAGAAAAAAAGGAGAAAATGGGCAAATGTCAAACATACTGCATACATAAATAATATACATTAATAAAATAATAGAAGAAAACAAAGAAAGAAAAAAAGAACTAGAGAAATGAAGAAAAAAGAAAGAATGAAAAAGAAACAGGAAGAATATAAAAGAAAAGAGAAAAAAGAGACAAGTGGATGAATGTCATAATATTTCCTTTAAAAAATAAAACAATTTTTGTCATCAGTGATTCAAAGACATCAAAAAGGAAGGAAAGAAAAATAAAAACAAAGAAACAAAGAGAAATAGAAAGACTGAAAATAAGAAAGGATGCAAGAGAAAAGAAAGAAAAAAAGAGGAACGAGATTAAAAAGAGAGAGTAGGCAAATGTCATACATTCTTCATCCATAAATAATATGTATCAGTGAAGTAATAATGAAAAAGAAAGAAAAGAGAAAAGTGGACAAATGGCATAATCATTTTCTCTACAAAATAATCTCCATGTAAAGTCAATCTTGCGCTCTGTGGCCCCCTTCAGGCAGAGAACAGAGAGTTCCAGCGGCGTCTCCAAGAGCAAACTGAACGTGTGCAGTGTGCCGACAGCGAGGTGGAGGGGCAGAGGCAACGCATGGAGGAGCTGCAAAGACTTCTGGGAAGTCTGGAGCTGGAGAACAGCGCCCTTCACGACAAAATGGCAGCTAGCGAGGCCGAACTTCAGGAACTGAGAGCGCTAAAGGAGGCAGAGAAAGAGCAGAAGTGAGAGCGCTGAATGAATTCATGAGTAGATTCCTTTGTCCGCAATTAGAAATTGGCTACTTACAGTATACTGAATCTCACACAGTACAGCACATGATAATCATTCCAATACTTTGGAGATGATTCAGTCTTCAAGAGTTTTGTTCTGGTAACAAATGGACAGATGAACAGTTTGGAAGGAGATGCCGCCATTTTGGCTTGGCCTATCCAGTTTGAAAAAGGCACTGGTGAATGAATAGTGTGGCATAGTGAGGGCTCTACTTCAGGCTTTAAAATAGAGAACATAACACTTCCCTTCTAATTACTGCATGAGTGAAAAGGTACACCATCATGTACAAACCCACTTCCAAAGAAGTTAAGCCAGTAAAGCCAATAAAAACAGACTGTGATTACTAAATTCTATTTGACCTGTATTAAACTGAAAACAGTACAGAAACATGATATTTGACATTTTACTGTATGAGCGTTATCATATTTTTGTAAATACATTCTTCCCAAAAATGATGCCTGCAACACGTTCCAAAAAAGTTGGGACAGCGGCATGTTTACCACTGTGTTACATCACCTTTCTATTTAACAGCACTTAAAATATATTTGGGGACTGAAGACACCAGTTGATCCAGTTTTAAGTTTTTTTGCCATTCCCCATTTATATGAGTCTTCAGCTGCCCAGCCATAGAGGGCCTTCATCGAATTTTGCACCACACATTTTCAGTAGGAGACAGGCAGGCCGTTCTAGCACCCACACTCTCTGATTACACAGCCATGCTGTTGTAGCACGCGCAGGATGTTTCTCAGTGGGGTCATGTTGAAATAAGTATGGACGCTCCTAAAAAAGAAGCCGTCCTGAAAAAGAAGACAGCTTATGTTGTTCCAAAATTTGTATATATATTCCAGGGTAATTGGTGCAAGTTACCTGCTAACACATCCCCATACCATGACAGACCACGGCCTTTGAACTGGTAACAATGTGGATAGTCCTTTTCTTCTTTGGCCCAGGGAACATAAGATCCATCATAAAACAGTTTGAAAGGTTGACTTGTCAGACCACAATACATTTCTACTGTGCATCAGTGAGAGATGAAAATACCTAAAATCCTTGCAGTCATTTGGTGAGGAACACTGTTCTTAAACTGTTGCATTATTTGCTGACACAAGTTGTGAGCCTTGACATATCCTTACTCATAAAGCACTCAGCCTTTTCTGGATGCTCCTTTTCTACCCAAGCATGATTGCATCATCTGTTTAAGAATTTTTTTTTAACATTACACTTAAAATATCTTAAATTGACTCGTCTTTTTGGAACATATTGTATAAATCAGTTTCAGAATGAGTGTTTATTAACAAAAAGCAATGACATTGAATAAGTAAAACATTAAACATGTTGTCTTTGTACTGTTTTTGTTCAAGTACATGGCAAAGTGGATTTACAAATCACTGCTGTCTGTTTTTATTTGCATTTCACCTACTGTCCCAACCTTTTTGGAAACTGGATAAAGATATCTATAAAGAGCTATACAAGCACTAAATAATCTTTACAACAGTGCAAATAACACAGCTAATGCAAATATTATTTGTCCTAGTAACTAATGAACAGCCACTTGTACATGACAAAATCAGACTAATAGAGTAATGTAGTAGCGCAATCTCATTTTCATAACTGCAGCCAAGTATTATCTGCTGGATAACTAGAGCAATTTAAGTTTAGAAGTGTGTATGTGTGTGTGTTTTTGTGTGTGTGTTTTAGAAAAGAGAAGCTGGAGAAAGAGTTGGCTGTTCAGAAAGAGAAACTCCATCATCTAGATGATATGCTCAAGAGCCAGCAGAGGAAAGTCAGACACATGATTGAACAGGTAACACGCTTACACATATTTCACATACCACCAAACAGCTGTGTTCTTTTTTAAATAAGTATAAAAGCATGAGTTTTTTTGGTCTGGCTTTCAAAAACATAACACAGAGTCAGCACTGGCTAGGAAAGTACAGCTTCTAGTACTGCTAGATTTGATTACAGCTTGTGATACAATTGACCATGATATTTTAGTGGAGCAGCTGTGGCCTCTGTTAACTAATTAGCTCTCAGAGGAGCTAACTGGATGCTAATGAGTCTTATTACAGGTGGTTGTTGGTGGGTGTTAGTTTGTCAGAGAAATATATTTTAACTGTTTCTGGAAATAGCTTATATCTGCTGCAGTGGTTAGCTTAGTTAGTTTTTGCCTTCTCAGTCACGTCCTTAACAACGCTCCCTTAGAAACAGGCTCACATTCAGGCGCTGATGTTTTCAAAGTATAATACGCCACATTTCAAAGTCCTGTTAAAATCAGTGTTTGTCTGTATATTTTCTCTGTCTTTCCATGATAAAATGAAATACCAGAATAGTGATTTCAGCCTTAGTATACAGGCACCTTGAACCGAGTACTTGAGTACCCAGGCATATCCCTAGTGGGCATTGCTCAGCTGAGGCAGGCTTACTGCAAACACATAGGATCACTTACAGCTCAGTCGGTGGATTTATCATATAGCTCCTATTACGATACGCCTTAAAGCATTGTAGCTCATTTTCTGCTGTAATTGTAATTGTGCTGTATTTTCATTCAGAGCATGGTGTTTAATCTTTCTAGTGTTTCTTATTTTAAGATTTTATAACTAAAATGATAGGTGCCATAACTAAAGTAAATAAATTAAATGTATTATCATTATTATTATTATTATTATTATTATTATATCGTACAGGGCATATGTATATCAACATTCACACAGTGCAACCATGTTTCAATGAAGTGAAATAAAGACAGAATGAAGAAAAGAGTGAATGATGAATGAAGATGAGGAAACAGTCGACGATTAGCACAAGCCCAGTTAAGTAGAGCAGACAAATAGTGAAACTAAGCCCTTATCATGAATAAATAATGCACCCTCCTCCTGGTCAATTATCAGGCCCATGTCTCATATTACACACTGTAGCACACTGATTTATATGGTACTCTGACTCTTCTCATATTCGTTTCTAAACTGAACTCTAAATGTTAGGTCCTTGTGGTACATTATTAATTGGCTGTATATGTTTTGTATCTGCACATTTTCTGTTAATATTTATATGAACCATTCTACCGAATTAGTTCAAACTGCACAGTAAAAAAAATTAAAAACAAATATTTACACCTTAGATATTTACATGGATTATGTTATGATTTATTTAAACCCAAGGCGTTTCTTGAGATAGTATTAAGCTAAATATACAATCAAATACATATACAAAATCATTATTTTTTGTGAACTTTTTTTTTTAATAGTAAACAGAAAACAAGATGTACAATGACAACACAGATACAAATAAATGCCCCCCCCCCAAAAAAAAAACCCTGCAATTAAGTAAACTTTGAGTGTTTTCATTAAAAAATATTATGTTTTTATGTGTGTCCAGCTGTTCTAAGCTGTGCTTGCTAGTCATGTACTGGCTAGCGTTTTTGAGTTTACTACCAAAATAGTCACTATTGAAACATTGGGTAAAATTCCAGAGGCGTTATTGTTGTTTTGGGAGTGACAAAATGGGATGTTTTTCATTTATTTTAATAAAATTAACATTATTAAGATATAGGGTCATTCAAAGCAAAAGGATTTTAGTCTGAAGTCCAAGTCATTTAAAAGTCTGAACTGTGTTTTCAACTCTGACTTTGAGCCAATTCACTAAAACGATCCATACATTATATAGGTGTGGACATTTGAAGATGCATATTACAGAAAAATAGTTGTCTGTCGGTGGGAAGCTGTTCATATTTTCCATTCATTTTCATAAACAACATGCATGTGTATGTTTTATGTGCCAACAGCTGCAGAACTCGCGGACTATGATCCAGGAGAGGGATCGTGTGATTTGTGACCTGGAGGAAAAGGTGGAATTCTTGGAGGCTGAGGTCAGTGCCAGTATTGATTAGGGTTAAAAGATGTTGGGAGAAAATGTAACAGTGGGTTATTTTCTGTGATACATATTGCAATATCTGAAAAACAAGAAAGGAGCCAAAAAAATGACCCCAAAAATATGTACCCAAATGGAGCTAATTATCACTCCAGCAATGCAAAGAGTGTGCTTAGAGGGGCAATTAAAGCAGCAGTTCAGTATTCTGGTAAGGGGTTCATGACATGGACAGAATACCACAGTGCAATTAATGCTACATATCACAATTGCAACATGCATTCCCAAAACGTTAGTGAGCCCTTAAAGGAATTGTTGGTCGAAAAATCAAATGTGCACAATTTTTTGCTAACCCCAGATGTAGTCAATCAGTCAAGACAAATTTTGCTTCTTTGCTTTAGCACTGGGGCTACGAGGCTAACGTTGCTAACAAACAGTAGAAGTCAATAGTCACCTAAATGCTTCCCATAAATACATCCTCAAAATTTCTTTCAATCTGTCACATCACATCAACAAGTTTTCGCAACCTTAATAAAGACCCGCATGCAGTTAAAGCAATGTTAGCTTTGTAACTAAAGAAGCAAAATTTGGACATCAAATTCTTGGCTGATCGACTACATCTGATTTAACTGGAAATTTTAATTTTTGGCAAACCTTTAATGTGATGTGTTTAAGGCCCAAAACTATTTTTGTTAATACCTTCACTCATCCAAGCACATATATGATTGGTCAGGATTAAACATTCAATGATTGATTAGAGGGTCATTTGCATACTGCACACATTTCAGCATATCAGCATTGCAAAGGCCAGTATCACAATACCAACTGAGGAACAGTATATTGTGCAGCCCTAGTATTGATCTCTGTGTCTGTCTTTCTCTCTGTTACTCTGTAACAGTAACCCCTCTCTTTTCTCTCCTATAGAACAGAGAGATGCGTGACCAGGTGGAGTTCTGCCTGGGTAATCAGACTCCCAGCTCACGCCAGTCAGAGAAGGGAGCTCAGATTGTCTACAGGTGATCTTACACAGCAAACTCAAGTTGTAATGTTTAGGCAGAAGATCTAATGATAGTGTACAAATACAAAACAAGATTTGTGCTCTATTTTATTAGGTTCAAATGGCAACCTAATTTTCTGTTTTCCTGCATACAGTAGTCTGCAAAACTTTGAACACCCCCAGTCAAATGACATGTTTTGTGGATTTTGTTGAGAAGATAAATTAACACATTCTCTACAGAACAAACTCAAATATGGTGTTTTTCTGCAATTTAATTTATTTCATGAATTTAACATTTTGAAAAAAAAAAAGCATATTCAATGTGTCATAACTTGCGCAGGACACATTTTATTTTTTTCCAGTATGTTAACTTCAGCAATTAGACAGTAACTGTGCATTAAAAAGTTCTCTGACTCTATCTCCACTATGTTTGGTGACTGCATAATTGCCATTAGAGCCTTGCATTTATAAGATACAGCTATTTAAAGAGATACTCTGCATTTTATTAACTTTTTTAAATATTAATAATATTTAGATTACTAAGAATCTACTTTCTACCATTTGAAAATTAAATGTTATTGGCTATTATCACTCAGGGAAAAAATCTTTCCTCTGGAAAAGACTTACAAAGTGTTACAATTACTGGCACCCAATATTGGCGAGGGATCTGAGAGCAGGTACAATATCTCTCTCAGAGTCTTTGCTCTTTGTTTGTGAAGGTCTGCTCACTCACAGGTTTTCTGTTGGGTTTATTTCAGTGGACTGCGATGAGTGATGAAAAAAACTTGGTGGCATGGTCAGTAAGCCATTTTTACCTCACCCTGGAGGAATGCTTTAGATCATTGTCCCAGTGGAAGATCCAACAACAACCAAACCTTTGCCTCCCTGCAAAGGCAAAATCTTTTTGCTCAAACATGTATTCCGTGATGCAAAACAACTCTGCCACCTTGCATATCCACCTCCATATGTTAGAGTGGAGATCAGGTTCTTTTCTGCATGACTGCTTTTCTTTTGAAGTGTTTTTTTTTCATCTTATCTGATCACAGAGAGCAATTCCAGTTAAAGTTGCAGTGTCATCTGGCAATGCAGTCGCATTAACTCTGAGTGCTCATGTTTGTGGTTTGAGCTTTCTTCTGGGAAGCTTTCCAAATTGCTTGCTGGCATGAAGATGGTGTCTTATCACAGTTTTGGTGACTTGGTGACCCTGAGAAACAGCCAGCTCTGATCCTTAGACAGATTCACCTTCACATCTAGCTACCCTGGTGAAAAAATGGTATACTAAAAGCTATGATTAATTAAAACAAATAAAACAAAATCAATAAAATATTTGATAAATGCTATTGTATTTTGTTAAGAAGCAATTCTAGTGGTGCGAGTAATTAGTAAACACATGAAAAAAGATATATAGTCCAATGCAAAAGTTGGGGGTCTCCTGGTCAAATAACGTTTTGTTGATTTTCTAAGGAAAAATAAGACATCATCTTCTGCACATTTTAATGCACAATTAATTTATTTGCTTTTGTTTTGTTTCTTTGCTAAATTTAACATATTAGGAGAAAAAAATTAAAATAAAAAATAAAATGTAGCCTGTGTATATATACAATATGTGTGCATATATATATATACACACACACCAGTGAGCCTAAACATTATGACCACCTGCTGAATATGCTGTTGATCCTCCACGTGCCACCAAAACAGCTCCGATCCATCACGGCTTAGACTCTACAAGACCTCTGAAGGTGCCCTGGGGTATCTGGTGCCAAAGTAAGCAAGCAGTTCCACATCCCACAAATGCTCAAATGGATTGATATCTGGGCAACACCTTCATCATGGTCCTCAAATAATTCCCAAACAATGTGTGCAGTGTGGCAGGGTGCATCATCCTGCTGAAATAGACCACTGCCATTGGGGAACACAATTTTCATGGTTGGGTATACCTGGTTCACAACAATGCTTAGGTAGATGGCACATTACCACATGAATGCCCAGGCCCAGGGTTTCCTAGCACAACTGTCCAGAGCATCACGCTGCCTCCACCAACTTGTCTTCTATCCGCAGCGCATTCTGGTGCCATCACTTCCCCAGGTAAACGCTGTCCACATGATGTCAAAAAAATGGGACTCATTGGACCAGATGACGTTCTTCCATTGCTCCAAGGTCCATTCCTGACGATTGTGTGCCCATTATCAACAGTTTCCTGACCGGTCTGTGGCTACACAGTCTCGTGCACAGCAGGGTGCAGGGACACATTCCCTTGTAACCATCACAAACAATTCTTTGACATTTGTCACAGAAGCCGTTCTGTTGGTTCGGACCAGACGGGTTAGCCTTCATCACCCTTGAGCACCCCACAAGCTTTGCCAGTGCGCTGACCCAGTCATCTGACCATAACGATTTGGCCCTTGTGAAAGTCACTCAGGTTTCAACAAGATCCAATTGTTCGTTTCAAAAGGGCATAAACGTTTCTGGAAAGTTTTGTTTTGAGTTGTATCACACCTGGATTTTGAATATTCTGAAGCAGATTTTACAGAATGAACATTAAATGGTTCATATCATATTATCATATCATTATTATTTTAGTATTTAAATGGTCAAAAGTAGCTTCTGACATAGTGTATATATATCAATTTTGAGAAAATTACCGGTTGCCTAAGCTAAATGTGATACTGAATTAAAGTGTGTATAATTGCTTTGTGAATGACAAACTCTCAAAATTAAACTCTCTTCTCTTTTACAGTAAGCCTTTGACACCAACAAGTCCTGGAAACAAGTCTCTTCCCTTCATCAAAGTGATAGAGATCAAGTCATGAGGACAAAGAAATGGAAGAAAATGAAGATGCAAATATGCATTTCTATAGTATATATGTACAGCCTATAAGATGCCACCCTCAGTCTAGCACATTAGGCATTTTGTGTAGTCTTTAAGCTACAATTATTTTCGTAAAGCATCTCTTTCCATAGACATCCCAACTGTGCTTGCACTCAAGAATATGGAGGTATTTAAAGGCATATATATCTTAGCCCTAGAGCATGTAGATTACAATACTCAGCCTAGGTCATTCGATATTACAGTATGTGCGCTGCTAATCTGTTAGTTGGCTTGTAGTAATACATCCAATAATATCCACTTATTATAGATGTGCACTGTACACAGCTGGATGATGTAAACATTTACTTAGAAAGTGGCTTCACAGCAAAGGTACAAATCGAACGCATTTCAAGATGTCAATACCTTAGTACCTTAGAATAGAATTCCTTAGAACCTTCTTTAATATTATAGCTTATCCTTTTTAATAACAGCATAATTTATGTGTCTCTTGCAACATGGTCACTGTTCAGGTTCAAACTCATCTGCATAACTGTCCACATCAAAACTCTCAAAGGGCTCAATTTAAGCCACACTTGAGACTTGAGACAAAGTTTTCTTGAGAATTTCCACTGACTAAGATTAGGGAAAATGTATGTCTAAAAACTATGTCCATTTTTTATTTATATGCCACATATGTAGATATAGTTCTAGTTTATGCTTACAGGAAACACTGTACTTTTCCAGGACTGACCTCTTTCCTTTGTAGAGCTATATGTTTACTATTAACAGTCTCTCTTAATGTGTAAACAGGAGATCTTACTGTTGCAGTCACTGTTACTGCAAGCAGTTTATCATTCCCATATTGAATGTGAAATCTGAACACTTTCTTTTGTTCATAGAAGCTGTATAGTGGTGGTGTCCTCGTTTTGCTATGTATTTCTGTATTTATGTTGTGTATCCGGGGATCAATAAAGGTAAATAAAAATATGTAGTCTACTCAGGCTCTTTTATGAACACCGACCAGGCCACACGTTTGAAGAAGAGAGAATAGAGCCATCTAGTGGTTAAGTATAAAACTTGTAGCTAAGGTTTTTAATATCATTGTTCTAGGAGAGTAATAGATATACACTTTTTGGTTGTAAGATTCTTGTTTGGAACTACATAGTGAAGAATATGAAAGCCCATTCCTACCAAGTACAGAAGTAAAATATAATTTGTATTTTTTCTCCTTCTCTGTTTTTAGCATGAGCATGTCAACAAGTATCTCGAAGTAAGGACTTCATTTCTGAACATTTTACATAGTATTTCAAAATAATGAATATTTTCTCAAAATATTGACATCACGATTTTGGTTATTAAGACGAAATAGAAACGTCGAATTATTCAGTTATTCAAGATTAATAATTCCAATAAAGGCATTATTTCTGTTGAAGTCATTATCCTGCTGAAACAAACAGCATAGAGCATCATGAAGTCCATGCTGGTCTAAACTGGTCTAGTGCTGGTTTGGCTGGTCACCCAGCATGACCATGACCAGCGTATCAGCATCCAAAACACAACATTTTGCTGGTGACCAGCAATGCTGCTGTACGCTGGTTTTCTAGCAGGGTATTTCAAGATACTAAGTCAAAACAAAAACAAGAAAACATGTAATTATTTTTAGTCAGTATTTCAATGTTTCTACATAGGAAGTCAATATTTTGAAAAGTATTTATTTCGACACATGAACCCAAGTCATTATTTCGACATAGGACATAAAAAGTCATGATTTTGACATAAGTACGTATAAAAATTCTGACTACAAAATATGTTATTACTTAGACATAGTAAGTCAATAGTTCGTGAAAATAAGTAACAAAACTAGCTAGGACTAACTTGCACATCTGCTTAGAGCCGCGTTAGCTTTGCAATGCAAATTGTGTGAACTAAGCTAAAGCTGGACGTACCGGTCACATGGTGGCGGTGTGCTGAAGCTGCAGTGCCTGAGCGCGCTTTGGGCGGCAGTGTGGAACACGAACAGGTAACGACAAACTCCGAGCCTGGCTTTATTGTCTGCGCGAGTCGGTTCGGCCTCGCACCTCAGCTTAGGCGGAGCGCTCTAGGACTCGGGAGTTCGTGTTTCAGTTCTGGCTCGTTTGGGAGGTCGATTTCGAGTCCCAAATTAGTCGGCAAAGTTCGAGGCATCCACACGGGTTTCTGGTCAGTGCATCGCTTGTTTATTTCTTGTCGTTGTCTGAGGCCTACAGGGCCTCGGCGTCGAGTCCGTCGCGGCTCCGGGAACAGCGTGTCTCCTGTGGAAGCGGCTAAGCTGGCAAAGGCGATGCTGATAATCGGAACAAGCGGATCGAGAACACTTAGCCGTTGTTCGTGGTTAAAAAGTACATGTTATATTGAGCATCTGACTACTGCGGTGCGTGTATTTGCCCACAGTACCAATCAGGTTGGTTGTGTGTTGGTCAGCACCATAGTTTAGCCGGTCGGCCATGAGGTGGAGGCGGCGAGCGGTGAAGCTACTCCAGCGCTTAACGGAGCCAGTCAGCAAGTCTGCTGCTGTAGCCTACCTGTTTCCCTTCCTGTTGTATGTTCAAAATTAAGATAATATCGTGAAAGCCTTGAAAAGAGTGGCAGCTGAGTTCGGTAGACTTCTAATAGGTTAAACTAACGGCTCTGTAATAAAAACGACCGTTTGGTGAAGTTGCTTAATTTAGCTAACCAGACAACTTTTATTGGAGTCGGGCAGGTAGCTAACGCTAACAGGGTGAGTGAATACGCTAGAGCTAGATGGCCGAATAACAACGTGGTTCACACTGTTTTGAGTTAATAGTACAAAATATTGCTTTTATTGGCGCCTTTAGATTTTCCTGTTTGTGAATAACGAAAAACACTTGCTTTAGTCGTAATCTGGTACGCCGGTTAATGAGCCTCAAAGGTAACGTTAGTGAATCTGGTGCTAACCAGCTAATGTAGCCAACGTTAGCCTCAGCTAGCTAACTAACGTTAAGGTTACTTAAGCTCCCGTTGGCTCATGCTTTACCAGCTAGCCAGCTAACTACGCTAGGTACACGGGCACAAATTCATAGTTTTGTGGCTGACCAAATAAAGCAGCGATGGCCAGCCAGCTCTTCTTTATGTAGAAACTATCCAGTCGGATTGCATAATAATAGGAAATGATGAGAGCCCAATGATTAATTTAGCTGGGCACTGTTGGGTTTTTAATCCGGATTGCTAGATCAGTTTGCTAGCCTTCCTGTTTGTGAGCAGCTTTCAGTATCAGTAAAGTAGCTCGTGCTTGTGTAATCAGTTAAAATGCGTTTCTTCGCACGCTATGCACTTTTATCGATTGTTCACAGTTGGTGTGCTCCTTCGAGCTGGTTTGGTTAGAGCTGTGTGACTCCGTTCACGTTTCGTACCGTCGCCTACTTTTCCTAGTTAGGTTACGTACCTGCTGCTTAGTTTGCTACACTCGCCCTGTGTTGTGCTGCAACTGAGGGAAGGTTAACGACGGCGTCCATCTTTCGACCCCCCGTGAACGCGTTTTAACCGCGCCGAGGTGCGACGGCTCGCAGCCTTAAGCTGATTACTTCAGTTTTTGGGGACGCGCAGCCTAAAAAAAGTGCGCAGTTCTTGTTACTTGCTGCCACCCCCCATTTCCTCGTGGTTTGTTGTGGCACACTGTCTCGATCTGCAGCCTTTAAAGAGGAATTCCTCTGATAAAAATACATATTTGCGTAATTTAGTCGTTGTGGTGTAAACGGAGTCTTTTTAGGCTGATTTGATGCGAAATGCTTCATTTATAGATACCTATCAACTCAGATGTCTTTACAGTGGTGTTGGTCACGATGTGTACAGCGGAAACATAACTATTATTTACAATCCAGAACAACCAGTCAGCCTGCACGTGTCCTCTGAGTTATGTAATATATGTAGTTTAAGGAATGAAATGTAATGTTAACATTGCAATAGGGTTAAGTCTAAGTTTTATTTGGGACCTCTCGTCCATTAATATATTTAAAAACAACGGAAAGCGATGTTTCGGGCATCAGGCAACGTGTTCATAACCATTTCATGTAGTATTTTTATGAAGAGGTTTTTAAGGCCATAAAACCTGGTTCCTGTCACCACCACTCTGAACCATTCTGACTTGTTAAAGTTGCCTGGAGTGGTGCATTTTACATCAAACCACTCTGAATGACTTGGATTTTAATGGTTTTATTATAGAAATATTTTGAAAAATCTGCGTTTCCCGTTAACTTAGGACATTAATGTGAATATTTGCTTCTGTCTGTTTTTGCTTACTAAATTACTAATTTAGTACAATTTCCTCAGTTATTGTAGTTTATTGAAGCCTTGTCATATTTATGATGTATGTGTTTGGTATGGCCTGTAACTCCATTAATGTGTGAATTCTGTGTTTTGTAGGTATTATTCCTTTGTAAATACTGTTATTTGTATATACTGTAAATGATGACATCGGTGGGCGGCAGCCGAAACCGGGGAAACTGGGAGCAGACACAGGGTCAGACACAGAGCCAGTCACAGCACAAGCAGAGGCCTCAGGTGAGTGCATACACACACTGTATCACGAAAACAATGTCATGTTCTATTCGGACAGGATTAGTTTTACATGGGAAGGTGGGGTAATGCAGTTATTACCGGTATTTTTTACTCCTATCCGAATCCAATATGCAAGTCATTTTTAATATACTGTAAATTAGCCTTTATGGATGTCCCCAGATTTTATTATTGCCCCGTTGGTATTCCATGCTGTCCTGTGAAAAATGGGCTTTCATTGTTTTTCTAAAGTATAGAGACATTCAAAGAAGTATTTAATTGTATTTACTGTGGACCAAATCAAGCTGGTATGTTCTCCTACCTTAGTCTTGAACTCCAAGCATCAAAATGTGGAAAATGAATGGGGAAAAAAGTTTGTTTGCATGCCACAGTGTTGACTGCAGGCTGCAAATTCCCATGCTAATGACACATTACACACCTGCTCAGATTAGACAGCTAGATAGATGGTGAGGATAAACATTCAAGTGAAATGTTTGATTTTTTTTTTACATGTGAGCAGAAGTGTGTCGCATATGGCGCTTCTTTTTTTGGTGTGTCGGCATTGCCTTAATCCAGTAGTCACTCCTATCTATCTAGTTTATATTCAGATTTTTTGTCCCATGCAATTTGTTAATTAACATTATGGCTATCTTGTTTTAAATTTGCATTGCCCTGCCTCCCGGTGTATTAATGATCCCATCTGAATGGTGCTTTAATCGGTAGTAGATGGGCGGTTTATTAAACCTAAAATAGGAAGTTAAAGGCTGAGGTAATTCATGTTAATATTACTATTCTAATGCCAGTCTATTGCCATTATATGGCTGCTCCTAAAACACAGCATTTCTGGTTGTGATACCTCACTATTAAGGTAGTACATGTATTGTACTTGCTAAAATTATTAGTCATAGAGAAAATAAACTATGTTAAACAAATGATCACAATACAGGTGCATAAGACATTGACCATGATGATTATTGTAAATGCCTGTGCATTGTCACTAAAATGTTTCCCTCCTTCAGTACTGTGAGGGAATGCTGGGTAAAGGCGGGACATGCCTCTTGCAAAACTTGACAGACTTTGGTTGACTTTCACTGGTAGATGTGTTGGTGCATGTCATTGGAAAAGCTTTTATATTCCCTTTTGAAAATTCCACTGTTTAATAAAGATAATCATGTTTTTCAGTGCATATGAGAAGGTTGATAACTGGACAACATTAATAAATTAACTCAGTTCAGACCTAAAACATTGTAATGTGAAGCAGTTTTTGCTACAAGATATCTGAGCCAGGTGTCCGGGAATGATTCCGTTTGCCGCACAAATGTGTAAAATTACAATCACAAACTGGTGTTATTATTGTGCTAAACACTTTTTATTTAAACATTTTATCACAGGGCATGACAGGCTAGTCCTCATGTTGCCTATCGCCTCTTCCCCAGCAGCTTAAAATAAAACCCTTGCTAACAAAAAACATGTTGGTTGGTGATATGGCGGCTAACAATAGAATTTTCTGTGTCCTCATGGCTGCTGCTTAAAATCAAATATCTGAAGTTTCTTGGCAGCTTAAGATGCACACAAGCTTTGACGTCCTTCGGTCCTGAAGCCAGTTTTAAACCAGAAGCAACGTGGCATGAGCAGCCCGAACTGCTTCTGTTTGGCACATATGCAGCTCAAAGAGATCTTGTCAGTTGTCATTTCTGGATTTTCTCACAGTGCATAATATGCAATGGTCTTTATTGATAGTCAGCTTTAATTAGTCCTGACATTTTGGTCCAAAGCCAAATACAACCTAAGAATGTTCTGTTCAGTTCCGACCAAGTTTTGAGTCAGAAACTGAAACCAAGTGAGGCCTAACAAAATTCTGTTCGAAATTCCTCCAAACTGGCCCATCATTACTAAAATTACTGCTTAATGGCCATAATAGTAGTCATTAGATCACAGGTAAAGTTAAAAATAATATAAAATATTATTTATATAAATTAATATAAAAATTAATATAAAAAATCAATATAAAGTTTTTTTATCAACTGTCAAATAGTTTAAATTCCTCTTTCATGAGATTATTCTTTAAAAAGTGCTTTTAAACATTATCCCAAAGTTTTTTGTTTGGATAAACTTTCCAGCTTAGACCTTGTGGATTTTGAGCTAATTTAATGCATGGTAGACTCCATGCATGAATTTACTGCAGCATGCAAGATTTAAAAACTGTTTTAAGGTAAGGAAAGTAGGGAGGAAGAATAAAGTAAGAAAATTATGCAGGCTGAAATTTAGGGCGAAATCTTTGAGAGGTGTGGTGTGAGTACCCAACCTGAGCTTGACACATTTGGGGAAATGATGCCCAAATGCAACTGAACCCAGTGTGAACAGTCAGGTCCCATTGTGTTCGGGCACATTTTTAGAGCATTTCTTAAAGCTCTGCTGTCAGATCAGTATAGATGTGTATTGCCCCTTGCAATCAAGAATGTAAAGTTTATGTAGCTATTTCGTACACAGCTATTAACTGTTTGAAACAGGACATACAAGCTAACCTGCCATGAGCCTTGCAACTCAGATTTCCTACATTCTGTGTTACTCAAGCAGTGACATTTTGCATTTGAGTGTTTATTCCTCCATCCATTAAACAAAAGTTATGGAAATGTATTATAGCATGTCTCACAGGCTGGCAAAGTAAGCTACTGAGCTTAAATTTGAGCAGGTCAGAATCCACAGTGCCCCCGTTCAATGATGGCAGTCTTCTAAATCTCCCCCAGAACAGCAGGGGGAGACGTTGCCCCAGTGTTGTAAATACTTACGATTTTTACTCTGGGCGACTAGTTTTAAAATTGCCATTACTACAAAAGTAGTATTTGCAAGCCATGATATACAGACGATATGTTGTCCTTGTCCAAAAAAACAATTAATGATGAACTTAAGAGGTTTACAACAGTAAAACGGGCTCAATTCATGAACTTATGAATGTATTGTAACACAGCTGTACCTCAGATGTAGCAATCCCCTCCAAGTTCAGCAGATTTCAGCACATTTCTAAGTACGAAGCATGTTGTAAGAAGCATTTTAAGTTATTCCTTAAACAGCTTGGTAAGCATTCTAGGAACAGGACATCCTACTGCAGGCCAGAGTTTTGTAGAAATTCCACTAATCACCTCTAACAGCCTCTAACTTCGGTACTTTCAAACTTGCTGTCAGTCACAGCACCATTTATTTTGACTTTGACTTTAATGAGCCAGACAGAAATAAGATTCTCTTCACTTTGCATCACATCAGGTGATTTCTCTCACCCTGATATAAGCCTATGTGTGGTCATATTACCCTTGTGAAATCATGTCATGCATTCATCTGCTTCTGCTTAAGGATTGTTTTGTTCAAAGCAATTTTAGTGCCTCTTAGCATGAATATGTTCTATGAAGATACAGGTCCAAAACCATTGTCTTGTTAGTGCTGAGCCCAGGAAACATTAGGTAGGTCATTGGATAACTGTTGAACTATGCTATGTGGAACCTGCATAATTCAGCCTGTCTCTGATTTGTTTGTCTACCTTTTGAGCAGACCCATGATAACATTAAAGCCAATTATACTTGCAGATATAATTAGAAAGTTAGTAGGTAATCTAAATTTGGGTTGGTATGAGTTTGGGCTGGTTAGGGTTGTTGCACGGTAGGTTCTTAGAGAAAGCCTGAGGTAAAAAGAAACTAGATATGTTAACAAATAATGGGTGTTGAATTCTGACCTAGATTTTTGACCTTAGTTTGAGTGAACCGCAAGTTTCCTTATTCCTCAGTGAAAATGCCTGACTGAACTACTTGTCATTTAGCTGCTTAGTCCTATATACTTTACTTGTCCATGGTAATTTGCCTTGCTGTTTTCAGATTATGGTGTGTTTCCCACCTTAAGCCCTGTTCAATTAGTTTTTCTAGAGGAGGACCTGTAGTGTAACTTGTAGTGAATTCAACTGGCTGGTTCATACGGGTAAAAGTGTCCAGTTTCTCTAAGTTACCTCAGATCACATGGATTGGAACGTCATATCCTGGTCGTTTACTCCAGTGTTGAATGAGGTGGTGAAATTCTGTGCTCCTTTTACTTTTCCGAAATAGAAAGTAGCTGATCCCGTGTCATAGTTTGCCTGTTTTATGAGGAGCAAAAGATATGTCACTTCAAGACATTCTGCCCATTCATTTTTGTCATGGTGTGAATAATGACTAAGTTCTCCAAAAATGTGTTTAGAATATTGTGCATTTTTGTGTTTGTTGTTTTTTTTTGTTTTTTGTGTGTGTGTGTGTGTGTTCATGTCACTTTCAGTGTGCAACAGTTTTTAAAGGTTTAAATCAAATGGATCCAAATAAACAGCAAAAACTAACTTCCAGTTAGTACTGGATAAAGTAGCATTAGGCAGGTAATGTGAGCTCATGTAACTTAACAGATGTTACCCAACAGGACAGAAATTGCCCTGTGAGAGGTACCTACAGAAATTTCTTTTTATTCTTCTGACTAGCCCATCACCAAAAAATTCCTGTCAATAGTCCTGGTGGGGATGAAGGAGGCTTGCCAAGAGCTCCATTTTAGCGGTTAGCCTTGTCTACCGCTTGGCAGAAAAGAGGTGGCGCTGTTATTACGTTACCAAGAAGAGGATTGGAACAGTTTTGATTTTGACGAATTGTAGAAAGTAGTTCAATCCACAATTATTACTTAGTAGACTTGTGAAAACTGCTTTCTTTGTAGATATAACTGGGTTAAAATCAAGGCTCTCATCAGTAATCACTGAAATTACAGTACCTCCCCAGGTAAAATGAATCTGGTTCGAGTAAGGCTTTAGTGCCCGTAAACTGTTAAATCAAAAGCACAGTTTACTCATTTCTCTGCTTTAACAAATAAGCTAAATGCAAAAATGGAGCTCTTGGCTAAGTTCCTTTATCCTCACTGGTAACCAGGACTACCGTAACCTACATTTTTGGTGGTGGGCTAATCAGAAGAAGAAGATTAAATACAGCCATATCCTGTGGTCTTCTTTTACACTGACCACTTAGTCTAAAACTGTAAACAGGGCTGGGGAACTAGTGCTAGAGGACCGGATTTCTGCATAGTTTGGCACTTTTCCTGCCCTGTGTAATTTTTCAGTGAGTGGTCTTCCTTGATCATGCCTGCTATGAACATGTTTTTCATAGTTGGTGTTATATATGGTCTTAATGTGTTTATGATGTTCAGTTGTATGTTTCTGCTGCTTTAATGTTGCAGTTTCCCTCTGGATCAGTAAAGTTCTATTTATCTAAAGTGTTTGTGCTGCAAACGTTACTGCTGTGCGTGCAAGCAACTCTCTATTCTCAACCTTATAGCACCAGGTTTTCAATCCAAATGTGACAGGAGCCTTGCAGAATTCCATCCAATCCTGGCTGTAGCTTGACATTTTGTATTCCAAACACAGTGTTCTGACCACCACCAATCAGAAACTGAATAAAACTCAGGAGCCAAGTTGCCTGTTGACAGTGACAGCCATCATTGATAAAATAAAAACAAGCACAATTATCAGCTTTCCAAAATTAAGTTTAAATTCCACTTTGCATAGCGAAATTATGAAAAATCATTGTGGTGTTTTCTTGTCAGTATTGTGGTCTTCAGTTGTCTTTGGTTGCAAAAACATGCGTGACTCCAGTATGACCGTTAAGTATGGAGGTAGAAGAAAGCAGGTTGGTTATCATCCATTTAAGGTGGCAGACAGCCTGTGAGAAGCCTGAATGTGAAATTTGATCCTGACTCTTATTTGAGAAGCAATATCTGAACTCAACATGGATTGTCCAGTTCAGACAAATATTTCAAGCTTAATTGGGCAGTACTTGTGTGCTAATTTAGCTTGCTCTTTTCCCCCCTTGTGCAGGCCACCGCTGAGCAGATCCGACTCGCGCAGATGATCTCCGACCACAACGATGCTGACTTTGAGGAGAAGGTCAAGCAGGTGAGAAATACTTCAACATTTCAGGCAGCATTCGCAATCTTGAGTACTCAATGTGCTCAGATCTGAGAAATGATACTCATATCTCAGGTATGTTGGGTTAGGTAGAGTTAGTATAGGTATTGGTACATGGTATCAGCCTGTACTTAAGAATCAAGTATCTCTGTTTTGGTGCATTCATAAATAAGATCTTTGCCGTTGTGTTGACCATGTTGGTCCCCCAGACATCATCAAATGTAGGTTATGTCATTAGATACTGTTTCATTGCTATAGTGATAGGCTGTTGGTGTAATCCCAGTTTATTGAACACCTTATTGTACTGAAAACCTTATTTCCTAGAGTGATTTTAGCAAACTTCAGTGGCCAGGTGCACAAGCTCAGCAGGGAGTCACCATGGTCACCATGCCATCACTTTAGTTATTGCAGTGGTTACAGTTAAGAAATTCTAACAAAGTCTGATTTGATGCAATTAGTTCTGTGTCTGAACAAACAGTTGTTAAAAAGAAAAGAGAATGCACAAAACTTCCCAAGCGAGTGGCCACTTGGGCCACAGGCTCTGCATTTTCAGTGGCCAGGGGTACCGGGTAATAGGGCTGAGCAAAGTGGGGAAAAAAATATTATTATCGGTATTTTTCTGACCAGTGTTACCATTGCGATTTATAAATGTGATTATTTTCTGTAAATAACACTCCAGGCCTTTTGTTTTGCCGAGAAGCATATCCATGTGTGTTGTGTGTTTTTTCTTTTTCCCGAAGAAGAATTGATTCAAAAACATTGATTCTTGTAACATTTTCTAGATCACAGCACTCAAACCTGAACTGATGCACTTTCACACAGATAACATTGTCATGCACATATACATAGCACACCAGAAACCCCTCCGCAGCTCCCTCTGTAGTGTTGGAGGGGACGTGTGTGCTAGAGTAGAGTCAGAGCTACTACCGGATGTGTTGTCTGCTCTGAGGCACTTAGTTCACTTCTCTAAGGACTTGGCACCGCTGATGAGTTATGCTTTAATCTCAGTCAGGAATTGCTGAAACAGTAGGTCTTGAGCTCTAGAGTCTTTTTTTTTTTTCTTCTTTTCTTTTGTCTAAAATGCTTCACTTTTAGTGCCTCCAAGCACACATTGAATCCCTCTACAGCTCCCTCTGTAGTGTCAGAGGGGACGAAGTGTGCTAGAGTAAAGTCAGAGCTGCTACCGGATGCTCTCTCTCAGTCTCTGAGTCAGAGAGCAACATAAAGCTCTAATACTCTCAGCAGCTGGACAAAAGAGTAAGATGAGCTTGTTCTTTAGATTTCCGTTAAGCATAACAGCTACACATGCACCAGAAACCTTAAACATTTTTAATATTTTTGTCTTTTTTTCAACACCTTTTTCTTTCAAGTTCATTGATCATGCCAAGGCATCCTGGTCACTGTGACCTAGGGCTGCAACAAACATTTGATAATATCATGAAGTTTAATAATTCATATATTAGAATTGCTGTTTCAATAACTGACACTTTTACGGACCCACATACTTCCATGTGGAAACAAACATTGGTTTATAAGCCAAAAGCTAAGTTAGCTTGTTGCCAAGCCTGACAGTTCTGCACACCAGACTCTTTGGACATTATTTGGCACAGCTTTTTTTAGGCTCACAGTTTTGTGCAACAGTATTGGTTTTTACTTTAATTCTGGTGGCATTCCAATAAGTTTCCTACTGCGCTGAGTGATAGCTTGCATGCTCAGTTGATTTATTTCTGAGAATCAGTGAAAGTGTGTTGTCTAGCTAACTGTCCAGAGCTGAAGGAAAATAATTCAGACTGCACCAGGACTTTACGCTGATGAGTTTATTTTTTTAGGGATGCAACAATACTGATACCGATGGTATTGGATACTGGGCTGATATCACGCTCATTTACTCATACTCATTCAAATTCACCGGTACTAATTGATGTTGTGCGACAAGCAGAGTGTACAGTGCTCAACTGGCAGAGAAGGAGTCTCTGCTCACAGAGAATTGTTAGGCTTTGTTCACATAGCAGGTAAAATTGGCTCAAATCTGATCTATTTCTTCATATGGGACACGTGTTATCTGTGTATCAGTGTGCACATTAAAAAAAGACATTGAATCTGATAAAAAGCAAAGTTCAAAGAATCAGAGTACCCGAACCAAGAAAGTGACCGCGCCCTTTTTTACTGCAAGCTCAACACACATTCTGGGTGATGAGCCCCGCTGTCAGTCAAGGGAGCTTCATGATCGCTCCTGTGATGCTGGCGAAGATAAAACTGAAAGCTCTGGGAGCGACTAGCGTTCATTGGCAGTCATGATTGTTTACCTCTGGATGAGCCATGTGAAGCATTGTTCTTTTGCGCATGCAGGTCAGTTTAGGAGCGTGATCTGTTCAGACTAATGATGCATTATAGATCAAATTTAAAAGATATTGTGACAACCAAACAAAAAATCAGATTTGGGCCACTTTTACCTGCTGTGTGAAACATTCTGCCTTGGCAGATTTCCACCAATTTATTTATTTTTTTTTTAATAAGAAAATTCTTTGTGAAATAGGCTGTAGGGAGACTGTATTGTCCTATGTACTTCATCGTCTGGCTTTTAGCTTTAGTGCACAGTGTTAGCAGTGCTGCTAACAGTGTTTATCAGCGTATTTGCTCAGGTTCATCACTCCACTGATCACTGCTGAGAGCTGACCAGAAAGTTTTCATTTTTACGGCAGTGGTTAAAAAGACAGTGTTTTCTTTCCTCCCCCTCTTCTCTCCTGCACCGCTCACTCCTGTTCCTAGTCTAAATTCCCATTTTTGCTTGTTATCCATTTTAAGCGCTTTGTATTTGAGGGCTTGTCAGAATTTTTTTGTGGAAAACCAGCCCCATGTTCTTGACCTGGTTTATCTTGTTTTTTGCCCTGTGCCCAGCTGATTGACATCACAGGAAAAGACCAAGATGAGTCCATGATTGCGCTGCATGACTGCAATGGAGATGTCAATAGAGCCATCAACGTCCTGCTGGAAGGAAGCCCCGACACTGTGAGTTAAAGCCACTGATCTGTGGCAGTTTGTCATTCCCTTCTGTCTTGTGTTGTCCAGCTCGAGTGCACCCTTTGGAAGATGTTAAGCCAGAGTCTAAGCTAAAAGACCACAGCACTGTGAAGCATGATGTTTTGTCTACTCTGAGGCACCCAGTTCACTTCACTAAGGACTTGGCACTTTGCTGATGAGTTGTGCTTTAAACCCACAGTCAGCAATTGCTCAAACAGTAGGTCTGGAGTTTGGCACTTAAGCTCTAGTGTTTTCTTTCTTTTTCATCCCCTCCCTCCCCAAACGGCTTCACTTTCAGTACCTCCAAGCACACATTGAATCCCTCCACAGCTCCCTCTGTAGTGTTGGAGGGGACGAAGTGTGCTAGAGTAAGGTCAGAGCTACTACCGGATGCTCTCTCTCAGTCTCCGTCTGAGTCAGAGAGCAACATAAAGCTCCAATAAGCAACACAGATGTGATTTAAAAACGTGTATATATATATGTGTGTGTGTTTGTGTGTACATATACAAATATCTATTATACACACACACACACACTACCTGTTTATGACTAGAAGCAGACATTGATGTCCATTAGATCTGATATGGGAATTTTTCCTTTTGGTCCTCAGGATTCATGGGAGATGGTTGGAAAGAAGAAAGGGGTATCGGGCCAGAAGGAAAGTGGACAGACGGATGGAGGAGAAGAAGGCAAGGAGAACCGAGAAAGAGGAGGAGAGAGGGATGTAGCACGTCGCAGGGGAGGGGCCTCGAGAAGAGGTCGTGGAGCCAGTCGTGGACGAGAGTGTGAGTGTAGAAGTGTGTTATGTCTGTCTTGATGTTGTGCAGCAAATTAGCAGCCAGGGTATTATTTTATCCATAACTGAGCAACATTCAGAAAAGCACTGAGTGGTAACTGTGCATGAGCTGCTCTAAGACAACTTCAGTAATTTGTCAGTTGCTATATAGTGATTATATTGCTGTGTCATGCAGCTTGCCATGTCCTGTTGAGGCAAGTTGCCAGTCTTGTCAGTTTAGAGGCTGGCTGTGGTTTTCTGAGGTAGAGGTCTGTACTACTGTGGATTCCCGCAGGACCCGCCACAACATCTTGTGGCGTGGGACTAATTTTTAGTGTTGTTTGCGGGAATGGGTGGAAAATCAGACCCCTTCAGGCTGGACCGGGCGGAAGCATGCCTGAAGAGAAATCCCGCAAATTAATGAATAGCCTAAATAAAGTAGAACGATCACTTAATCATATATGTAAACAATATAACAGTAAAACAGTTAAAATGATTAAAGTCATTCTCGAGCAATTGATCACGTGAGCAGCACGCAAGTTCTCACAGGCCTGATTCATACACACTGCATTTACGTGGCATGAGCGACGTGGAAAGTCTTGCTTTTCGGCACCCGTTTTAAGTGGTACACGCTTTCAAACAGGCTGTGTGCGAGAAGCGGTAGAGTCACAGATGCCACACTGAAGCGCAACAGTGTTTAATGAAAAGACCTGTAACTGTTTCTTTCTGCACGCATCATGCAGCTAAATACACTTAAGTAAGCCATGAAAATCAATGAAAATTAAACAGAAGACCATATAAAACTTAAAGCGATTTTTATCTAATTCATGACGAAATATTAAACATTCTGTGCTGCAAACAGATGTCCCAGTTGGTCTATCAGGCTTGAAATTCTGCCTCAAGGGCTTCGCTTTCAGTGCCTCCAAGCACACATTGAATCCCTCTACAGCTCCCTCTGTAGTGTTGGAGGGGACGAAGTGTGCTAGAATAAAGTCAGAGCTACTACCGGATGCTCTCTCTCAGTCTGAGTCAGAGAGCAACATAAAGCTCCAATAAGCAACACAGATGTGTCGGTGTTTGTGTGTGTGTGTGTGTATATATACAAATACACTTAAGTAGGCCATGAAAATCAATGAAAATTAAACAGAAGACTGTATAAAACTCAAAGGCGATTTTTATGTAATTCATGATGAAATATTAAACATTTCGTGCTGCAAACAGATTTCCCGGTTGGTCTACCAGACTTGAAACTTTTGTTGCGCAGGGTGACTTATGTGACCATTTGGCTCTCTGGAAAAAGGAATGTCTTTAATTTTCTCACTGTTTCGCAGCACAAATGTTGTATATATGAAAGGCCTGTACATCCGAGCTGTAGTGCTCATGCTGTCGCATCTTTTCACGCCACGCTGAGGGAGCATGTGTGAATCAAGTGTTGGAGAGTTGCCAGAACCTTCAGTCCACGACCACAGCTGCCCAGCAAAACACCTAAAATAACCGCTCTGTGGTTTAATTTCTGATTTGTGTTTACTGGAAATGAATGCCGTTTGGTGAAGTTACTCACAGTGAGCCTGGTGACCATGACTGCCGTGTTATTTCAGCAAAGGATAATGTATTTGTGATTAGACTGTGTTAGATGTTGGATGTGCGCGGGACGGAGCGGGACAAATTGTTTCGGTTGCGGGTGGGAGCGGGACAAATGATTCCAATTTTCTGCAGGAGCAGACGGGGTCGGGATGAAATCTTGCGGGAGCAGGTAAACAGAATTTCAAATGGCCAGTGAGCCTTTACCTTGTATCAAACTTTCATGATGAATGAACATTTTTAGGATTTTTTCAGACCAATGTCAGGTTTCAGCCTTCAGACAAAACTGTTTCAGTTCTAGTTTAAAAAAAAAACGCGATAAATCGTATCTGAACTCGCACATCAGACGAAACTTGCTCACCAGCATTACATTGCACTGTGTCAAAGAGTAAAGTTCCTGACAAAGCCATAGGTTCTTGTGCTCTTGTCCAGGTTGTTCACTTTGGTATAGAATTGTGAAATTAGCTTGTCAGCCCCCAACCCCTCTTATTCCTTCAAGAGTGTCAGGATTCCAGAGTTGCCAGTGTAGCACTTTGGGGGCAAAAGGCAGCATCATTTTCATATAAATTGAATTTAAATTCCCTTTGACTATCATTAAGAATTTTTTAACAACTGTGTAATGATGTGATTTAAAGAAAGTGTTTACTGTGCCTCTCCCGCCTCCTGAAGTTCATCTACATTACGATCACTGTGAAAATAGGTCATCTAAAATGTGATCTAAAAGATGGACATGGAGAGATGATCTTTTATCAGCAGTCATGCTTTATGATACCTGATGCATATGGGCTATTACAGTCTTTATGAATGTTGTCATCCTGTGATCTCAGACTAGCTGATAAAGATTTGAGTGATCAGATTTCTTATAGTCAAAACTTCTCTAACTTTATTCTCAGTACAAGTTTTGCATCTACATCTATATCTTGGCTTAAATGTTTTGTCTTTGTTCTGTTTCTGTGGTGTGAGTTCGTTTGCATCTGAAACTCAAACATACTGTAAACACAACACAAGGTTGTGTGTTTTTTAACATTATACTGTAGTATGCCCACATTCACCCGTTTTGCTCAGTTTTCTCTACCACTGAAGCCTCATGATCAGCGATGGAAGCTTTCTACTGAAAAGACTACTCAGTTCTTGTTTAACTCTTCCAAAAGATTTTAGTTGAAATATATGCTGTAGATTTGATTTTTTTTATAAAGTTTACTTTAAAATTCACATTCCTTGGTCCTCAGAGATGAACTCCATAGCAGTGTTCATTTATTAGGTGTAATGGCATTGTTAGATTTTTAGAAGTATTGTTTACAAAATCTGCTGAAGGGTGTAAATACTACATTTCATGCAGTTAGTAAACTTGTTTCTGTGGTAAAGCATTTTTTTTCTGAGCTTACATTATGCTTTCCACGGAGTTCTTTTGTTCTGTCTAGAGTTTAGTGGATGCTCCCCAAAATATCATTCCACCAATTCACAGAGTTTGTTATTGCTTAAATCAGAGAGTCACTGATTTAAGCAATAACAAACCTGTTATTGCTTAAATCAGTGTCAAAAAAATGCAGCCCAATGAAGAACTCCCAGTTGAACACTGGTTGCTGCTGCGGGCTCTGTGTAACTGGTTTACACTGTATATTCTCTGTAATGGAACTATATGGCAGACGGGGCCAGCAGGTGGCTAAAAGGCTGGTTTAGTAAAATTGAGAAACAAGATTCAAATTCAGACAGAAACTTATAGAACATATAGAAATTTCACAAAGAATACTACTTCTGTTCCTGATACAAGTTTCACATGCAAAAATTGGCATCACGTGTGATTGTACAACCTTACTAGCTAGGCGCTAAGAACACCTTATCGTAGCACAGCTTCTGTCCTATTAACTGGGATTTGTTAAACTTGTGCAAAAGCCTCCTAAAATCATCATAATTTTTCATTGTTCATTTTAAGAATTCTGTAGCTACATATAAAAAAAATCATTAAAAGGGGAGCAGTTACATTTAGTTAAATGGCTTGTTTGTGTCAGAAGATGCTGCCTCAAGAGGGGGGTTTGGGGAAAAACAAAATGCTGGTTTTGCCCTCAAAGCCACTTTAGAGAAAACTGGGAGGGGGGAAACACACCAGTGATATCTTTGGGCATGTTTCATACACTCCTTTCCCAAGATTCACCACAGAGGCATGACATTTAGCAGTCACTTCCATCCTCCAGCTCAACCCCCTTCAAACTCGAATGCAACAGAAACTGTGGATCCACAACCATCCACTAATGCACCTCCTACAACCTCACAACAGAAAAGGCGGTCTTACCAGCTGGGAATTCAAAACTAGTCACAGTAGTGGTTTAATATGGCAGAAGTGTTTACATTTTCAGTGTTGATTCTGAAGCGACCCTAAAACCATATCATTTTTAACCAAAGTTTACATTGGAAGTGATAGAAGCTAGCTCTATTGAGCTGAGACAAACATTTTGTAGTGTTTTCGAGCAAGCTCTCTTTTCAGTGGCTAAAGCAGTTTTAGCTCAGTTACAGGCAGCCTACCTGAGCTCAGGCTTACTGTTTCTGTGTCCATGTTTTTGCTTCAAAAGTCCAGGCTTTAAATACTTTTTAAACTCTTCTGACACACAGCATTTGGAACCCATGCAAATCCTTTTCAGTACAAATACTGTTCGAATTACAGCATCAGCAGCTTTTTAACTCAATATCTTTAGAAGTATAGTGCAAAATGTCATGATTGTTGTGTTTGTGTAGTTAGCGGGCTGGAAAATTCAAGGCTTAGAAGATCAGGTCTCTTTGAAAGGGTCATTGGTCTCTTTTAATGTTAGCTAATTGATAAATATCTGGGTTGCAGGTTGTAGCTGACCACCCCTGGCCACCCCTGTTGTCACTATTGACAGAGTGTGACCTTGTTGGTTCTACGCCCAGGGATAGCAGCGTTTGCCGTGTTTTAGTAAAAGTAATGTATTTGACTCTGACTCTGGGTATTAGTACTGTTTCCTCAGTGTTTTTTGCCAGAGGTGGGAGGTGTCCACATACCATATTAAAACTGAACGCTAGGAAGCAAACATTAGCCTGCCAGTCGGATCCGAATGTCTGTATTCCAAGCCAGGTTATGTGAGCTTGCAGGTCAGTTGGCCAGTTGTAATGGTAGAGAAAAAAAACAGCATTACTTACTCTTTGTAGTTGACTGATGTAATCCAGTCCCACAAGAAGCACAATGTTGGCTGCAGGTTAATTTTGCCAAAGTTAACAGTAATGTCTTAAGCTCTTTCTGGATTACCCATCCTTGTTTTAACATAGAGACTGTGTGACTGCTGGATTTGTTACGCAGTATTTGTGCTCATTAAGCTCTTTTTCGTGTCTGCTCTCCTCCTTTATTTATGTATTCTCATCATGCACTACTTATCCTTTTTTTTTGTTTGTTTGTTTTTTGTTTTTTTTTTTCTTGGCCTCTTTACAGTTCGTGGGCAGGAGAATGGTCTGGATGGGGCAAAAACTGGTGGAGTGGCAGGCAGAGGGACGGAGCGCGGCCGACGGGGAAGAGGCAGAGGGAGAGGTTTGTCTTAATGTTTCCTTTTGACTGAAGGAAGGGTTTTTAACTAAATATTTTGAAAACATTTTAAACCTTTTCTGGTCTGCATGGGTTAAGTCAATTTAGCTGTGTTTATTTAACCCCTAATTTTGTTTTGCATGTGTTTCTTATCTTTAAGCCATGTTTATTTCTCTACATTGAAGATGAGTACCCTTGACTGTGCAACCACATTGAAAAGCTTTTATGTCAGGAGAATATTTTGACAAATTTAAATATTTTGCAGATTTTATCTACTGTCGTTTGAAGTCATGCAGCTATGGACTTCTATGGAGTTTAAAAAAACGAGCCAGATTGCTTAACCTGGAATTTATAGAATTGTTGATTAATGTGCATTGTCCCTATAAATCTAAATCGAATAAACTAGTGTCTCTGTATTCTGCAGGAGGTGCTGGTAGGAGAGGTGGAAGGTTTTCAGCACAGGGCATGGGGTAAGTTTACACTTGTAGTGCTTGGAGTCCCCCCAACGCGCCCCTGCCATGTGGCTTCCAAAAACTCTTTTCCCTTTTTATCACAGTACAACAGTGCAATATTTATCCCTGTATAGGGCCTGTTTTAATGAAGAATGTGAGTAGGAGTGCTGTTTTAGGAATGTTCTATCTTTCTGTATGGTAAACGTCCAGGATCCCATACCTTTTAGTCTGATGTTTTGCAAATCATGCCTTCACTAGCTATTTTTCCACTTTTTGATTTTCTGCATAAATTGCATCAGATTTCTGCAACTTTTAGTGATGATAATGCTTTACAAAGGGGCATTGACTTCATAACCAACTGATAAAGAAAAGTGTGTGTGTGTGTGTGCATGTGCATAGAACATACACTATAAATATTTACCTTGTGGTTGACTGAAGTACATCTTATGTTGACAACTATTTGAAATTTATTCAGTGACTTAACTCCTTCGACAGTTCTTTGGGTTTGTGGTCCTGTTTCCTTTGTGTTCTTAGTCTTGTCAGACATTTTGACAGTGTTCATTGTTTGCTGAGGTTAAGGGTGTGTGATGTGAGTCTGCTGCATCCTCTGGGTCTTTGTAGTCTTAAACTCCACTGCACATGTTTACTTGTCATTAGAATTTCCACACTATGTCCAAAAGTTTATCCAACATTTCTTTTGAAATACCGGGTATTTTATTTAATCCCCTTGTCTGTGCAGTCTGTATGTGAGGAAAACGGTATTTGGTTTTTGCGATTATTGTCTATTTGTGACGAACGCACCGCCGCCATTATTCCATCTCTAGTAGGAACAGTTATCTAGGAACCAAAAATTGAGTGTACCGTTTTGCGGTGGAGGAGATAAAGTGCGAACTACGCTTCTCAATTCCTGTTGGTAATTGCCTCATTGCTTCGCTCCTTATTTGCATAAAGTTAAACTCTGCTGAACTTTGTCACGTTGCTGCCTCCGCCCATTTTGTGTCGCCAACGTTCGCACCACCTCCTGTTGCCGGAAATCGCCAGCTCTCATTGAAAATGAATGACCTCCGGCCGCTTTGTTGCATCACTGCTGGTGTGAATGCAGGGTAACTCATCTCACACGTAATGGATGGAGCTCCTCACTCCTGAAAAAGGAGTTCATAGGCTGCTGCACCACGACATTGCATTCTTCTGGCCCTGCTTTTCTGTAATGAGATTTAACACTGAAACTTACACTGAAAGGGAGATTAAACGTTGATAAGGTCTGTTATGTTAGATGATTCTTTTTAATAATTGTTAGGCTGCTTTGGGCTTCACTGCTAGCCTGTAACTCTGCATAGACGTTTTTTTCTTTGCACCTCAACCTGCGTGTGTTTGAGTGACATCCCCCCCCCCCTTAAAAGCAGCCAGTTGTTGGCTGGCTGTAATGAACATACACTCAAACAGTGCACGTCTGCTGCACATTTTGAAAATATAAAAATACAAACTCTGAAACAAGCACACATGGGTCTTTAGTTGACTCATGTTACTAAAAAATGCAGAGCTTTTTTGTTGTTGTTGTTCTTATCAGTTGCAATCCTGAGTAGCACCCTCAGCACTCCCACTTCCTGCATCCTTTTTCTGAGCATATATATGGATGATGTCAGTACTTTGACACTGACAAACTACTTGTTTCATAACAAACATTTTTTGTTTAGTTGGATTTAGTGCAGTTTGTAAAACAAAGCTTCTCCTTCCGTCTCTTCTAGTTCCATTTTGTCTTTCAACTTATCTCAGGAACACAATGTTGTGATTCATATCATGTATCATGAAAATGTCTGAAAGTATTGTGATATTTTTTCCATATCGTCCATTCCTAAATGGGTCCACCTTAAATTAGCTGAATTTAATCATTAGAAGGGTTGTCTGGAAACTTTTGGACATGTTGTGTATTTAACACCAGTTGAAACAGGTAAGTAAATGGTTGTGCCTCCTTGCCTTTCTGAAGTGTTTAAAAGTCAAGAGTCTTAGTATTGTGTGTCAGTTTGATAGCTGTGTGTGTGGATCTTTTGTTATTCTTTATTTTTTTTAACAGGATGCATCCAACTGTCTCTGATATTGAGGAGCACCTTAGTATAGCTATTTTCTTTGTTTTCATGAAAGGTTTTAAATAATTATTTCTAAAAACTAAGACTATATTGTTTGCGTCTGTTTGCTTCCTCCCATCTTCTGCTGTTAGGCTACTTGGAGATCTGGAAATTGGCTTCTTAAGAGTGTGTTTTTGGACTTTGCATGTGCATTTTGGTTTGGAATTCCACCTGTGGTACAAGTTGAGGCACTTTTGTCTATGATTGAAACTTTTTGGGCCCGTTCGAAACAGGCCGTTTACCTGCAGTAGGATGTAGGTGTGCCGCTAAGGACAGTTGATGTACCTATATTTAAAATTGAAATTTAAAAGCACCAGGTTATGTGCCATTCCACATGCAGTCCCTACTTCTCATCGCTGTTGTGCTGCTTGTAACTGTCCCTGTTGTTTCTTTTTAAAGCCAGATTGATAAGGGCCCCAGATACGATTTGTCAGGTGACGAGAGGTGAGTTAATTGTTATTGGTTTGTCAGTATGCCAGACAGAATGTGTGGAACCAAAAGTAGGCAGCGTGTGGGGGTAATATATTAGGCAGTTAAGAAGGCATTGAACTGGTGCAGCTGAAATTTTTGCACCTCTGTTCTTGGACTTTAGCAGTTTGTCTGTGTTCAGGATAAAATTTTCTCTGAAATTGTACCTTTGTGTTTCTTTACTGTAGTTATTGTGTGTTAGCTTGCTAGCTTGCAGTACCAGCCTAGATCTGAAGGTGTGTGTGCGTGCGTTGGTTCATTTTTATTTATTTATTTTTTTTTATTTTTATTGTTGCTTTTTAAATAAAGGGTTTTTGCTTTGCTCCCCTGGTTTGTGCATGCCAGTCAGTATACTCTTCAGTAATGTTTGTCCCCCTGCCCTCTTCTCCCTATCTTTGCAGTACATTTAATCCAGCGGACTATGCTGAGCCAGCACAAACAGAGGAGAGCTATGCTGGGGGAAGCACTTGGAGCAACACAGGCAACCTGGAACCAGAAGATGGAGCCAGTGTGTATCCCTTCCAATATGTTTTCGGTTGCCTGAATCCAAATACTTTTATTCTGTTTAGCTCCCTCTACTATACGCTCACTGAGCACTTCATTAGTACACCTCCTTGTTTCTACACTCATTGTCCATTTTATCTGCTCCACTTACATATAAAAACACTTAGTAGTTCTGCAGTTACAGACTGTAGTCCATCTGTTTCTCTGCATACTTCCTTGGCCCCTTTTTACCCTGTTCAACAGTCAGGACCAGAGCAGGTACTATTTGGGTGGTGGATCATTCTCAACACTGCAGTGACACTGACGTGGTGGTGGCGTGTTAGTGGCGTGTTAATGTGTGTTGTGCTGGTACAAGTGAATGGATGCAGTGTTTAAAAACTCCAGCAGCACTGCTGTGTTTGACTCATTGTTCACACTATTTGTCACTTCTGCCTTGCTGGTCTACCTTGTACATGTCAAGTCAGAGATGATAGCTCACCTGCTGCACAGTTTGTGTTGGTCATCCTCTAGTCCTTCATCAGTGGTCACAGGGCACTGCCCACATGACGCTGTTGGATATTTTACTGGTCTATTTTCAGTCCAACAGTGACACTGAGGAGTTTTAAACACTCCAGCACTCCTGCATCTGACTCACTCATGCCACTGCAACACATAATACACCATCATGTTAGTGTCACTGCAGTGCTGAGAATGATCCACCAACCAGATAATACCTGCTCTGTGGTGGTCCCTTGGGGTCTTGGTCGCAACTGTAGAACTACAGAGTCCTCTGATACGATACATGGAGCTGATAAAATAGACAGTAAGTGGAGAAACAATGAGGTGTTCCTAATAAAGTGCTCAGTGACTATGTGAAAACTGTTTGAATGAAATGTCTGTTTAGTTGGTACAAAGTAAAAATGTGTTATTGAATAATACATTGGTAAATATTTCTTTATTATGCCTAGGAAACCACTGAAATGGCAGAGGAGCATCTGTAAACTTCAACACTAATTAGGGATGCAAAAGATCAATGACTATGCACATTTATGCTAATTGTTGATACCTTCTTTCCTCCCTGATTCTAAATCTCACCCCTTCCCTTTACCACCAATGGTGATGTGCTTATTACTGTCGGTGACTGTTCGACAGATGCGACAGAGCACAACAGCTGTAACATTAATAATTAGAAAGTAAACTAGTGAAATCTTCAAATCATCACCCATTAAATATTAAACCATAGATGCCTAAATGCTGAACGGTGTTGATTATGCTAGCGCTGGCTTAGCCTGCTAATAACTTGCATTGACAGACCATATTCTGTCTTTGTCACTCCAACACCAGCCACTCAAATTCATTCGCTCTGGTTTGAGTCTTTATCATCTAAACTTTATCGTTTACTGTGTAATGGAGCAAGATTAGCAGAGCTAACTGCTCAGCACACACCAAGAAAGGAATTCACTGTCTCAGATTTGGCTCTTTACCCTGAAAAGTTGCATGAGTGAAGCCTCAGTGAGCTTAGAATTGAGCCTGTGTCGTAAAGCTATTTTTTGGCTTGCTTGCTAAGCTAATGTTAGCCTCTGGAGGGAAGGGATGTGAAGCTGTTGCATGCTAAGTATGCTGACTGCTACTAGGACAATTCTGCACCATATTTGAGAAATATTCAGAAGATATGTGTGGACCATCAGCGACGCTATCAATTTTAAATACAACATTCATTTAGTTTTCAGTTTAGTACACAATCCAAACATCTTACACATTGTTAGGTCTGTTAGTGCTCGCTTTTTATGGTAAACAGAAACGATAGCTTCAAGCTCATTCCACAAATCGAAGCTGCTGTGTAGTGCCCCGTGGATGTACTTAAAAAAGACTGTTTTTCCAGGGGAAAAATGTGAACTCTGTGCTGTAGTAACACATTTGATTCAAATCGGTCTACGTAGTCATAATAAGCCATTCAAGGGGAGTTGTCCTTTCAGAAATGTTTTTGAGTACAGGTGGTTTTTAAAACTAGGGTATCATCCAGGCCTTGAAATTAGGGTTATTCAAGTCTGCCCCCACACCCTTTCTCCACCTGTGTCAAAGGACTTCTACTTAATGGACTCTTTTTGATAAACAGGTTCTTGCACCATAACATGATTTGCATAAATTTGCTGACATTCAAACAATATAATGTTTTCTTAGAAGCTCGATCGTTACAGGCATCTTAACGATCTGATGGTTGTTAAGACACGTAATTACTCAGTGATTCATTGCAAACTTGTTTGATAGGTGACGATATGTTTTACTGATCTAGTGTTATTAGTTGTGTTTTCTTTGCTTTGCTTTGAACTGTGGAAGTAGAGCCTTAAGTTCTGTTAGGCTTTTTAAAGTTGTTTGGGTCTCTAAAGAAAGTGCTTTCTTTACTTTTTTTTTTTGCAGGGCTTGAGTTTACTGGAGGAGAAGGAACAAATTACCCCCAGAAGTTTGACTCTGCTCCTGGTAAGTGTGGCACCATGTGCCTTGTATAAAGCAGTCCCAAATTTTGACTGTTGCTTATCAGTTATCAGTTTTCTTGGTACTCCAGTAATGTGGTATAAAATTCCTCCTCCTGTTTTCTTTTCAGGTGCTTGGAGAACTGGTCCAGAAGAATGGGGCACTGAAGACTGGAATGAGGATGTAAGTGTAAAACATGCTTATTAATAGAGTATTTTATCTTAATGTCAAAATATATAATGACTTTTCTCTCTTTATGTGGCTGAAGTTGTCAGAGACCAAGATATTCACTGCCTCCAGTGTGGCTGCTATGCCCATGCCACAGGAGAATGTCACCATAACTGCTGGACAGAGGTATGCAGTGGAAATCCCAATTCTCACACTGTAATATGTGTAATCAACAGTGTGGAGAAGTATGAACTACAGTAGTTTCATGGCTGACCAACCGTGGTGGCATCAGCACTCAGCTTTTGGCAAAAGATGAGTGTTCTGGCAAATCAGAACCAGAATGTGGCAAAACCAGATTTACTGTTGTCATACTGGTGCCACCTTGATTGGTCACACAAGGTATGCACAACCATTCAGACTTCACACCACTTAATTTGCTGTGAAATTGATTCTAATCTAGATGTCGTGAAAGTTATAATTGTTAATCAAGGTTAAGCAAGGTGTTGTAGAAGAAGCATAGCACATAAGTGGCACTTAAATGGCTTAATGTGTAATGGAACATTTACATCTGAATCAGTATTTTATGTGCATCATATAGTATGGCTAACATGAATGTTACTAACTAGCAAAACATTTTTTGTCTTGCTGCATGCATGCTTGAAACATTCTCCGTTCTGGGTTGACAGGCCTTTTTTGCTTTCTAGGTTTGATAAAGAAAATTTGGAGCTACATATTGACTAGATGGACTAGGGAATAGTATGAGACTTTTGCATACAGAGTGCTGTGGATTACTTACATAATGCATGTCTAGTTGGCCTCAAACATGGCTCCATTTTTGCTACCTAAATTGCTGCCAGCCAAGCAGTGTAGCAAAGTTTAGCATAGTTGATGTTTTCAAAGACCTGTAATATCCATCTACTACATCAGGGGCCCTGAACTGTGGTTCTGGAGGAATGGTGTCCAGTGCAGTTTGGTGAGTTCCTGGCTCCCATACACCTAATTCAACTCCCCAGTTAATTACCAGTGTTCATAGAGCAGAAAGTCACTAAACTGTGCTGGACTCTGGCTCATCAAAACCAGAGCTGGAGACCCCTTTATTAAATAATTTGCTGAAAAAGAGGCATGTAAAGTAATTTGTGATGCATGCATAACTTACAAGCTCCAAAGATCAGCTAAACTGCTCTACGTAATATTAAACCCAGTGTGAATGAGTGCATTTATACTGTTACTTTGGTGCTAACATGACACACATTATTTTATATTACAGAGGTGTCCGCAGAAAGTAGTATAGTTGTAGATGGTAATCAGATAAACATAGTTCTACTTGTCCAAAGAAAAGCTGGGTTAATGTGTGCTCATCATTACATGACAAATGAAATTTCCTGACTTCATAAACAAATACTGCGTATTGCGTAGATGCTGTCTATAACTGACACTAACGACAAAAAAATGTGATGAATAGAAGTAAACACTCAAATGCAAAAAAAGGTAGGTGTGACTGGTACAGTAAGTGTAGTGACGTGATACCATCACAACCAGTACTTTAACATGGCATCATCTGCTTGATCAGTAAGACATTGTTGATTTTGTGCATTTTACCAACTCTACCACAGAATCGATTTGGCAGTGTTGCTGGGCAAGACACCCCCCTCCTCTTCTTCTGAGACGGAGGCAGCTCCACTGGAGGCCCAACAGCCCCCATCGCTATCTCAGTCTCTGGTCTTTAGCAACTCCAAACAGCCTGTTCCGCTCTCCCAACCCAGCTCCAACACCTCCTACAGTCAGCACAGTATGGTAAGGGAACTTTGAAATTGATTTAAATATTAACTGTATTAGCCTAACTGTAGTTTTCTGTGGGTACTAAAACATTTTTTAGAATTAATGAAAAATAACGGAAACTTGCAAAGTTGTTCAACACTGACCACCACCTTTAAAATATATTTAATAATCATTATAATGAGTTATAAAATTATAATTAATCATTTTTGTTTCCTCAGGTGAGCATGCTCAGTAAGGGTTTTGGCGAGGTGGGAGACACTAAAGGCAACAGTGGCAGCTCCACCAGTGGTTCCCAGTTTCTGGAGCAATTTAAGACGGCTCAGGCTCTGGCTCACCTGGCAGCCCAGCACTCCCAGAGCGGGCCCCCCAACACAGGCCCGTCCACCTGGGACACCAGCCCTGCTACACTGGGACAATATGGTAGGAGAACTCAGGTTAAAGCTATGATCACTAATTGTGTAATCTTTGCCTCATTCCCCTCCTCGGTGCTAATTAACTTGAAAGCAATACTAAAATGATCCTGAGCTGAGAATCAGATATAGCACAGTGATATGATATATGTGAAATTCTTTTAGGTGTAGATTAAAGAGCTTGGTGCCAAATATCACCCCTCTCAATTAGTAGAATCTCACTTGAAGTACAAACTGTAATAATGGAAATTCATCCATTCTCTTGTCTTCAGATTTGAAACCTCAGACAGATACCCTGGTGCACAGTCCCTTCACCAAACGGCAGCCCTACCAGCCCACCTCCACTGCTTCCTCTATGATGGATGCCTTCCTGCAAGATAAAGCCCCTCCTCCATCCACTGCCTCCTCCCTGTCCTCCCAGTCCACCCCCTCTGCCTCACTGACCCAGACTGTCTCTACCCCGCTCCCAAAGCCTTCAGGCCCTGCTCCAAGCCAGCAGATATCTCCAGGACCTGCTGAGCCACAGGCCTCAAGTCCTCTACCCCTACAACAGCATAAGCTCAAACAACAAAAGAAGAGAACCTCTATTGCCACAAAGGTTAGTATTTTGTGTGGTTATGCATAAACATTTCCTCTTTACAATGTTCATAAACCTTGTCTCACTTGTTAGCTGATACTCTCACAAATCTGTTCGCTGTTATTTTTATTTATACTTTTGTTAGAACATTTGGCCCCAGATACCACAGTAATGCCTTTTGAAAATAAGTATTTGGAAGCTAAACTCGAGTGATGGTGAACAGATTTCCCAGAAACCCGATTGCATCATGTATAGTAAATTGTTCTCTGTAAAATGACAGATTCCCGCTTTAGCAGTGGAGATGCCGGGTTCAGCAGATATCTCTGGACTCAACTTGCAGTTCGGAGCATTACAGTTCGGCTCAGAACCCGTCCTCCCCGAGTACGACACCACAGCCGCGGTTCCCACCACTTTACCAGGAAACCAAGCTCAGAACAGCGTCTGTGCTAGCAGGTTTCATAATTTTTACCTATATGTACAGGGTTGTACAAGCATGTGTACAGGTTATTTTTTTTATTGATTTTTTTTTTTTTTCTTTAAGTGATTATTTGAGGCTATGTATGTTTTTAGACGTAATTGACACATTGTTCTTTTGTAGCAGCATGTCCTAATGAAGCTTTTTGTCTTAGTGAGCAGACCCCAGCCCTGTCCACCCCCACTCAGATGGAGCTGTATGAGCAGAGAACGAGTCAGACACGACGCTACCCATCCTCCGTCTCATCCTCCCCACAGAAAGACATGCAGCCCAAGGTAAGATTATTCTGTATCAGTATGTTGATTCTTTATTCTAATGAAGAAATGGTTTATTCCTTCTTTGACGTGTTTTGTTTTTTTTAATATACAGAATGGATTCAGTTCAATACAGACAACACAGTCTCTGGAAGGTAAGCTTCTCTGTTGCACGTGTGCCGTGCTTGTATTTTGTGATTGATTCTTAATGAGAATTGATTCAACTGCTGATTTTTATGTATATTTACATCTTTTATTTGTTCAGCTGCAGCGGGCTCTGCAGTGTCCTCCAAATCAATGTCTGACCCTGTTGCACCTTCCACTGTGTCAAATATGGCCTCGTTGGCAGACCCGTCGTCAGGTTCTGCATCTCTGCTGACCACGTCCCATCAGACAACTCTTGCCGCTCTTGGACATGAAGACTCTTCCTCTAATTCAATTGCTCCTTCGCAACACAACAAGTAAGAGACTTGATTTACACCATATGGTCAGACGTATGCGAGCACCCTTCCTAATTGAGATCAGGTGTTTCAGCCACACCTGTTGGAAACAGGTGTATAAATTCAAGTACATAGCCATGCCATCTCTCTAGACAAACACTGGCAGTATAAAACAGAGGAGCTTAGTGACTTTAAACGTGGAAATATCATAGGATGCCACTTTTGCCACAGTCAGTTGAACTGTAGCAAAGGTGGCATGCTGTGAACTTTTTTTTAGAATGAATTTCTTTCTTTTTTTGACTGAATGGGCACAAATTCCAACAGACAGACTCAATCTTGTGTAAAGCCTACCCAGAAGAGTGGAGGTTGTTATAGCTGCAAAGGGGGACCAACTCCATATTAATGGCCATGGTTTTTGAGTCGGGTGCCAGACAAGCTCATATAGGTGTGGTGTTCAGGTGTTTTGGCCATATAGTTTGAATTGCAAGTGAGAGAAAAGCAAACATTAATGTCTTGTTCTCTACTATTCTCTCTCAGTTCTCTTCCTACACAACAGAACAGTTTGGCTCCATCCTCAGGCCGTACATCTAACACAAGTCTGCTGGTAAGATGCATCTTTTTTTTTAAAGTTTATTTTTGTTGTTGCTTCCATTCTCCTGTGAAAGCAATCAGTGAGACTGTTCTGAATATCTCAGTATCCCACTTCTTTTCTTCTTTTCTGCTTGTTTGATTCTTTTTTTTGTCATCTCATACATTAATTCATTCTTTTAAAATATGCTCTTTCTATTACCTTCTTTAGCATCCAAATGTGGATGGAGACTCCAGCCTGCACTCAACTTCATTCTCCTCCGTGTCTGCGGTGGCCCCCTCTTCCATCGCTCCCTCCTCTGTCTCCTCCTCTTCCTCTGCTGCCCCTGTCTCTTACAGCGCCCCTGTTCCTCCCTCCTCTTCGTCGGTCAGTGCTGTCTCTGCCCAGTCTAGTCTGGGGTCAGTCAGCAGTCTGGCTATGGGCCTCAACAGTGCTGGTGGAGTGACCTCCATCGTGCCCCCCACAGCTGTTGCAGCGGCCTCCTCATCCTCAGTGGCCTCAGCCACTGCCGCACCTTCATCAGCCTCTTCATCGCGCAGCGCGGCCGCCTCAGGTAAATACCTTGGTAGGAGCATTTAGGTGACATCTGAACAATGAAACAAGTGGCGAATGTGCACTCCCACCTTTATTAGAGAGGGAGCAAACGTACACATTTGCACCCCAACTTTTATTCAAGCTAGAGGTCTGCATGAGACCTTGTGTGGTGTTTTTTTATAAATTTTAAATGCTTTGTCTCTCTCCCACCCACAATCCTGTGTAGCTGGTTTCCATCTGTGTTAGTGAAGACTGAAAATGACATGTCATTGAATGCTACATGTCAGATTTGAGAGTGGTCAGTTTTTATTAGTTTGTACTCACCTTCCTTAAGGGCACTTTCCACTGCCTGAATGCTCCTCCAGAAACAGCATTTTCAACAAAGCAATTTGCATGTTGTTCACATGATTTCACAACTATTTACAATGAGTTCATTTGTTATTTTTTGTTATTTATATATGCTAATTATTAAGTGTTAACATTCATTCAATATCAGGTGCCCTCATTTTAGCTGCTCTGTAAAGGAGGGTCCTGGTGCACTTTGTGTGTTAATGGAAAAAACCAAGACGTAGTTAAATTTGGAGAGGTGGAAACAACAAATTTGTATTGGAAGGTACCGATATGCAAAGTCTGTTTTCCTCTGCCATCATGTAGGAATGTTGCTAGGCTAATTTTGTAATTTTGGTTGTAGATGTTATGCTAAGATTTCAGTGCACACTGAAAGTTTGAACTGCAATTACATTTCCCACACATTATAAAGAAGCACTATAGCAATCGCATTTGTTTCCTGCAGGGAAAGCACCTCCAAACCTGCCACCTGGAGTGCCTCCCCTGCTGCCTAATCCATACATCATGGCTCCTGGCTTGCTTCATGCATATCCGGTGAGAATGTTCTTCCCTTTATTTCAGATTGGTTAATTGTTAAACAGTTAACAAGTGTTATACAGACTCTGTTTATCCCAGGTCGTTTCATGTAATCTTGAATATGATTTGCCCTGATTGCAGCCATGTAGTTACCCAGTTAGTCTGGTTGAAGTTGGTTGCCACATAACACAATCTCCAAATCAGCTCATGACAGCCAAATGCCTGTGGTGTTCCTTGTTCCTCTTCTGTTCAAAACATGATGATTGATCCAAAAATCACAATTTTGCATGCTGTTCCTCAACCATGTGGGCAACATGACCATTTAAAAGTTAAGAGATCCTTATTAGCTCCACAACAGGGAAATTCACCATCTGTGCAGTGAAACCCCCACATACACACTAGTGAAGGCACACACACACTAGGGGACAGTGAGAACACTTGCTCAGAACGGTGGGCAGCCCTATCCACAGCCCCCAGGGAGCAGTTGGGGATTAGGTGTCTTGCTCAAGGTCCTGTCAGCTCAGGGTATCGAACCGGCAACCTTCCGGTCACAAGGCTGGTTCCCTAACCTCCAGCCCACGACTGCCCCTTAGTTATTGTTATTAAATGTCTTTTTACACCTGCATTTTTGAGAATAAAACATACACTGATGTAATCTGGATATTTGAGATGCATGAAATGATTGAGTCTAAGTGAGGTCACAGAAGCTGTTACTTTTCCAAACGTAGACCCACCAAATTTGATAAACTTTGAAAGCTGATTTTTTTTTTTTTTTGTGTCAGCTCTCACTTTTTTGGAGGGTTAAAAATTCTCTTTGTGTGTTAGCCCCAAGTTTACGGCTATGATGACCTACAGATGCTCCAGACCAGGATACCACTGGTAAGGGTAACCCAGTGCTAAGAACTATTTAATTTCTCATGACTATTTCAGCTGGTTGACTGTTCTTGAAGCAGCTAATTATAACATTTTTAATCTGTGTAGGATTACTACAGCATCCCATTTGCAACCCCAACAACAGCACTGACTGGCAGGGAAGGCAGTTTGACCAACAATCCTTATTCTGGTAAAGTGTGTGTGTGTGTGTGTGTGTGTGTGAGTGTGTGTGTGTGAGATCACTGTTGTCAGAAGAAAACCTTGTATCTCCAAAATGGAAACTTTACAGGAGAAGGAAAAAACCTGCTTTACTTTTAATGTAAGTCAGTGGAACCAGACATTTAATTTTGGGGCACTTCCTTTGGTCCATTCTTCATGAAATTTACACACAATACAGCAACAGAAAAAAAAACAAAAAACACATATATATATATATATATATATATATATATATATATATATATATATATATATATATATATATATATATATATATATATATGTATATGTATGTATGTGTGTGTGTGTGTGTGTGTGTATATATGTGTGTATATATATATATATATATATATATATATATATATACACACACACGACTGCCACAGCATGAGCAACACTTTCCTGTGTGCATGTAGACCCTCATTCACTGCCAGCTTGGTATTTGTTCATTAGCGCAACAGTGTAACACTAGACTTACAACACATGGTATCAAGTGGCATCAGATGTTGGTGCGTTTTTATAAATGCATGTAAATGATCTCAATATCGGGCCAATACCCGATACATGTATTGTTATTGATGCGTCCTGAAAAATATATAAAATGTATTTTTTGTGGGTCTGTATTGTGGACATTGTATGTGATCGGGAGTACTTTAGGTGTAAGGTGTTCCTGTAATGTTTTTTCTCACCTGAAATTATCCAGACCCCCATGCTTCGTGCATTTTGTTATAACTTTTACTTAGTACTATGTAGTATATAGTAAGTTTGCAACTGCATTGGTTTTAAAATTTAGATTCATTTAGAGGACATTTTAAACTGAGCGTAATGCAGTGAAAAGCTCATGCAGCACACCAGTTGACCCTGTCCTGCATTTCTGTGGCAGCTCAGGGGGTCAGTGTGTGCCAGAGCAATTGAGCAGCTGTTCATGAATACCCATCAGACCTGCAACCCAGTGGCTGACTGGATCTGACAGTGCTGCCACATGCATCTTTAATCACTCAGTGTGTTTTTGTTGAAATCTTGCCCGCTTTTTATGCCTTTTTTGTTTTTTTTTGCTCTTCACTGCACCCCATCTTTCCTCTTGTCTCTTCTCTTAGCTGGTGACCTGACTAAGTTTGGCCGTGGGGATACTTCTTCTCCAGCGCCGGCCACCACGCTGGCTCAGCCTCAGCAGAGCCAGACCCAGACACACCACACCACCCAGCAGCCCTTCCTAAACCCTGCGCTACCCCCTGGCTACAGCTACACCAGCTTGCCCTACTATACTGGTGTGCCCGGTCTGCCCAACACCTTCCAGTATGGTCCTGCAATGTTCCCGGTGAGAGCTGCTTGATCCACCTGCATTTGGAATACTTGACCCACCCACATATTGTCACTGTTTAGGGGTGGGGGAAAAAAAACAATTCTCAGTAAAACGTTTATTTTAAATTCAGCATCAGTCACCTTATGTATTCAAGGTGGCTCCAAGGATTCTTTTTCTTCTCGGAAATGTGGTAAAAGTGTGTTCATAAGATGTCATTGAGGTCGTCTCTGAATGAGTTTTTAATTGTGACTATTTGTTGGTTACACTGGTTAGTAAACCATTGTATTTGAAAGTGTAAAAATAAATTGCATGATACAAGTATTTAACAGGAAGTAAAATGTGCTAAAGAAGGTGTTCGTCAGCTTTCAATGTTGGTGAAAGTTTATATAACTTCAGTGGAAATAACTTAGACGTGTGTATTAGTGTGATAGTTAAAGGAGAGCTTACAAATGTTTACAAGCTACTGACAATGTGCAAATGTTAGAATGCATTTAAAAGAGTTGTATAATGGAGTTCTACCACTCTGCAGAGTTTAGCTCCAACCCCAACTCAACACAACTGATCTTTCAGGAGAACCTGGGTATTGGGGAGAGGTGTGCTAGATCTGAATTCTCCAGGGTGGTAGATATGGTCAAGGAGTGAAAGAAAACTACTTCGTGTAACGACTAGTGCTACAGTTTTATCTATTGCACCTTTAACAGCAGATTACTGGTGACTTTTTTTATTGACTTGTTTTGATGTGAAATGTTTTTCAAACAAATAATCCAAATCTTAGACTAGTGAGTTTGGAGTTTTGCTCATTACTTTAGGGTATGGAATCAGACTGTAGTGAGGGGTGGAATTACTGGAAATAAGTTGTAGTAATGAGGCTTTCTCGTACTGGCTTTGTTTCTCAGGTTGCTCCTACCTCCTCAAAACAACATGGTGTGAATGTTGGTGTCAATGCTTCAGCCACGCCCTTCCAACAGGCTAGTGGTTACGGATCCCATGGATACAGCACTGGTAAGATAGTTACTAACGTTTAGTTGTGTGTTTTATACATGTGCCTGGACACATGTTCACAATCCATTGATGACCTTGACAACTGGTAACGTACTGTGATAGTAAAGTAAGGGGGTGTGTCTCAAATCTCAATCTCAAAGCTATCCTTAACATGTATTTCATTGAATTATCCAGATTAGCCACATTGTTGTCCTTTTGCCCTGTACTCATAGATGTAATAGCATTGGTCTAAACAAAGGCAGGGAGGACACAAACATGAGCTCTCCAGTTCCAAGTCCATATCACCTGGTGCCCAAACTAGGAATGTAATAATTGATAAGCTTGCCTAGTTAGGTTGTGGCTGTTTCTGTCTCACCTCGGATCCTCTTGAATGGCAACTTTAAATGTTATTCAAACAGGTGTGCCTTTAGCACTTGTGTGCTGTGTGTTTTTCACTTTACGAGACATTTTTCAGGATCATAAGTCAGCTGAGGGGTTGTAAGCCATTAGACAAGCCTACTTCACGAGAATGGTGGCCAGTAATTAGTGTTTTGTTTAAGTTGTAGCTGTCTTTTTGTGAAGTCGGTTGCAGTGATGTTAGGCTGGTGAGGTCAGGGGTGGACTTGGTTTCAGGTGGTGGGTCTATACATGCTTATCCACGCTCTGCCTGCTTTTGCCCATCCAGTCGTGTTCACCATGTGTTCGTTTCTCACTCTTTCCTCATTCATGTCTTCACGTACTAAAAAAAAAAAATACTCTGTTTGCTTCTAACCTCATGTTACCATTTACTTCCTTCCTGATGGGTATTTTTTTCCCTTTAATTGTTTTAATTTGGACCAAGTTTCCTCTCGTTCTTTCTTTTTTTCTTTTAATGTACTGAAATTTGGGCCACCGAATATTTTTAGCTGCAAGGGTCTGGAATGGCGTTTGATTTTTAGCCAAAAAAAGTTAAATGTTAAATCGGTCTTCAGTGAAGTGTCAAAATCTGACACCTGAATGAAAAATAGTGTTTTAAACACTATTTGCTCTCTTCACTTTTATGGTCAACACAGATGCGTTCAAACATTTTGAGCAGCAGCAGTGAAGCACACAAACACAGTCTACTGCAACTGCATTCTGTATGGTCTTTAGCTTAAATTATTTTTAGCATTAACTGACAGTCTTTTATGAAAATCACAAATGTAATAAATTGAGTAACTCAGTATCAGTAAACATTTTCACCTCTGGTTTTTAAAAGTTGTTACTGCAAACACTTGAATTATATCCTGCTGAAGTTTTTGAGGTAGTGCTGTGTTTTTGTTTTTTTTAAACGACAGACACCAAAGCAATTTGCGTGCTAAACTTCAGACTGATAGGTGTTGTCCATTTTTTTTGCAGTCTCCGGAGTTTACCTTTTAGATGCCTTTTGGGAAACCATGAAGTAAATGGGATATTTTAAAAAATTTAAGTAGTCCTCTAGTTCTTTTTTTTGTTTTTTTTTGTTTATCAACATGATTACATCTTCAGCGTTATGATGTTAAATCATAAGCATAAATAAAACAGCAAATTATATAAAAAATAATAAAATTATTTATATTTTATAAAAGAGCCCTTTCTTTCAAAGTGTCAATGTGTGCTTGGGTCGAGAATTTTCTTCGTCTTTTTTTTGTTTGTGTGTGTGTGTGTTTTTTGCTCACTTTGTCCCTTTACTTAAGCCAAATCTCTCTTAATATCCTTATTTTCTCTTCTTTTTTATTTTTTTATTTTTATTTTATTTTTTTGGGATTACTGTCTTTCAGCACGCCCTGACTGTAACCCACTGGTCTTAACACATACACACTTTGCTTGCTGCTTTACTGCCTGTCCTCTTCCACTCCTCCGCCTCCTCCCACTCCCCCCTCCTTCCTTCTGGCCCTGCCTGGTGTGTGTCTAACGCTGTGGGGCTGTGGCTGTGTGTCTGACCGTTTGCAGGCTATGAGGATTTGGGCCAGGCTTCGGCAGGGAGTGGGGATTTCTGTAAGGGCGGCTACGGCACCGCTGTGGCTGCCGCTGCTGCTGCTGCCGCCGCCGCTGCTTCTGCGCAAAACAAGCCCGCCAGCTCAGTCACCGCGCCGGGAGTTGGTGAGTGTAGCATCACGCCAGACCCCGTTGTTTTTTTGTTTTTTTTTCCCCCTTCCCCCCTCCTGTGGTGGTTGTAGCACCCCCTTTTTCCCCATTCCCCTTCTCCCAGTCACTGCCACTAACCTCACCGAGGAAGCTTGATAAAGCCATGGCATGCTACCCCAGCACTACTGCTAGTCCTGGACTTTTAGCAAGAAGTGGTCCCTTAGCAAGACACAGACCTGTTGATGTGAAAAATATAAGTTTGGGTGTTTGGAAGTTTGGACCACACACTCTACAGAACACATTTCTGCACATTTTAATGCACAATTACTGGTTATTTGTTGAATGTAATATATTCAGGGGAAAACATATAACTTTAACAAGGGCCATATTTTGGCACGTTTTTGTTTTATCTTTTTCCAATACATTAAACTCAGCAAAAAAAAATAAAATTTTGCACTAAACATTGCAGAAAAATGCTATATTTTTGTTCCTTGTAGAGGATGTATTGACTTATTTTCACCAACAAAACGTAATGTAACACAGGGTGCTTATGGGGACTACTGTGTTTTTCTATTTTAAATATTGATTTGAAGGTGTGGCTTATAAAGGAGCATTGGGTGATTATTTAGTAAAGACGTAAGCTGTAGAATTGCTGTAAGTGCTTCTTCAAAAGCAATAAATCACAAATATAGATTATAGCTACATTAACATCTTTTGATGAAATAGTAACCACAAATACAGATCTTTGGCTTTCATAACCAAAAAAAAAATAGGGAAACTACATTCCTTTAAAAAAATGATGCAGTTTTCAGATATGCTGACAATGGGTTCAGGTAGTATACATTGAGTCACTACTTGTGGGAGCGTCCTGGTGTTTTTGTTAACTGACAGGCTTATGTACACTTACTGGCTTACTTACCTACTGATTGGTTGATTGGGAACACAGTGTTATAAAATGAGGGTTTCCTCAGCCTCTGAGACTGCTACATAGTTTATTTCTAACTTTGGAACTGACTGATCCAAGTTCTGGTCAGTTTTGCTGAACTTCCACAGTGTGTTTAACTGTAGCGATTGAGACTGACATTAAACCTTTGGTTGGGTTGACTAGCATTGGGTGTGTTGATAGAAAACACAAAAAACAAACTGAAAATGCTAGCGTATAGTTTTATCACTCCCTGTGGTACCAGATCTGAGTGGCACATGGAATTGGGTGTAAGAGGAGTTAAAAACCCAGTGATCACTTAACAGTTGTGCTGTTTTGCTGTGGAATTGAAGAGAGCCATATACTGAGAACAAAGGCAGTCAGTCCTTTCTTGTTGTGTCTTGGTGGTTATTTAATTAAAGGGAAGAATGTGACTTGTGTATTTGAAACTTATTTCCCTCCCCCAGTAACTGATTCAATTGCCCTCTCTCTGGGCAGTAGCAGAATCTGGAAATCAAGTATTTACACGTTACTTTTTGGTCATAGCAGTGTTCATGTGTGCTGTATTCTTGATGGAAGATTCTTATTCACTATGCTTGCAACCAGAGCCTGGTGTTTGCAGTTGCTGCAGATAACCACCCCATAATTGTGCAGCTTTTCAAAAAACAGTTTGATAAGGTTCTCATCTATGTATAAATACTGCATTCTCTCACCAGGGGTTTGTTTCCATTATTCCCTTTTTATTATTATTATTATTTTTATTTGGTTAATATTTGTACTCGACAAATAACACTGTTACTCTCGCTTTGTTTGTGTTGGCTTTCCCTCAGGAGTCTCAGTGACCTCCAGCAACACAGGAGTTCCTGACATTTCAGGGTCTGTTTACACAAAGACACAGGTGAGTGTTCTTGGTGCATTTATCACTGAATTGGTAGCAGGTTTATTTATTCAATACCAAGTTCTAAACTGTTATTTTCTTCCCTGCTTTCTTCTTTCGCTTCTCTGTCATCGGTTCACCTTTTTTATTTCCTTTCTTTTTCTAGTCATTTGATAAACAGGGTTTCCACACGGGAACACCTGGTGCCTCCTTCAGTCTGCCCTCAGCACTTGGAAGCGGTGGTCCCATCAACCCTCCGGCTGCAGCTGGCTATGCCCCGGCCCAATTCATGCACATTTTGACTCCGCATCAGCAGCCACATTCCCAGATGCTGCACCACCACCTGCAGCAGGATGGACAGGTGAGAACCAGCTATGGCAAATTGTTGATCATAATCAAAATCTTGAGATACTATGTAAAACTGTCAAATTAATAGAAACACAGAATGACAGAGTTTAAGGCATGTCTGACGTTAAATGTGTGCCAATCATGAAGACCCAAAAAGAGGAATGAATAGGGGTTTGAAACAAAGCTCAGTGAACTGGCAGACAATCATAAAACATAAGAAAATAGCCTAAAACTGACTCTGAATTCAGTATACCCATCCATAAGACTTAGTGTCTAATATGCTGTGATCTAATATGTGACAAGTACAGAGTTGTTTACAGGTATAGTGTAGATCAGGCCTGGTGTGTTGATGTATCAAACACATTAAGATATTTACATTTAAATACAACACGTTTGACCTTAAAGTGTTAGTGTACCTGAACTCAAAAGGGACCGCTTTTTACCTTGCTAGTTCATTTCCCTGGTCAAATTGAGTATGAATTATTAACCCACAAATCATTTATAAGACAGAATTCTTGTTTTCCCGTAGTCTTCCATTAATGGAATACTTTTGTCCATCCCTAAAATGTCTTTGGAGTTTTAAGTCGCCGTACACCAATGGGCAAGGAAAAATTAACCAATAACATCATGTCCCACCCCCTCCAACCATCCTACCCATCATCGGTTGTAATGATTTTTGATTCCCATTGACTTGAATGCGTTGTCTTTTTCTGTTTCTTCTTTTCAGAGTGGCTCTGGACAGCGCAGTCAGAATGCTTCCATTCAACAGAAGTCCCAGATCAACAAGTCTGCTTATAACAGCTATAACTGGGGAGGCAATTAACATGCTCTTCTTCAATTTGGTGTGCAAAAGGCTAAAATTAGGGGACCCTTTTCTTCCTCCCTAAAAATCTCCTCCTCGCGCCCTTCTTCCACCACACCTCTGTCCTTTTCCAGTCCAGTTGCCCTTTAGTACCACCCTGCACCAATGGTGGTGCTGTACAAAGAGGTAGCACAGTGGGGGACATGGCCAGGGGAGGAGTCTTGAAGAGGAAGGGGTTTAAGAGGGTATATGGTTCTAGTAACTTAGGCCTTCAAGAGCCAAGTATTGAGTGTTTTGGAGTTTGTATTGTGTTTAAAAAGAAAAAATACCCCAACCCCTTCTCTCATTCTGTCATATGTATCATAGAGCTGTTTTCTAAAGGATTTGTTTTGTTTTTTGAATGTTTTGTTGGCTGAGGCAAGGGGGCGTGGGGTGGAAGAGAAGTTGGGGTTGTTTTTGTTTGGGAGTTCCACTGTCTCTCTTTCTCTACCTTCCTTTTTCCATCTCTTCTTTACCTGCACCCTGCTTGGTCTCTTTCAGTTTTCAAGCCCATATACATCACCTCTGTGGTTGTTCTGTTTGGGTGTTTTTTTTTTTTGTTTTTTTGTTTTTTCCCTCCTCCCTCCCCTTCCTTTCCTTGTTGAGTTTTTACCTAATTTTATTTTTGAGGGGAGGGGGAAAGGTATCGTTCTAGATCGGCTAAAGCAGTTGTGGAGTTTATTTTTTACCAAATATAAATATATAGATATATGAAAACAACATGTATAAGAGGGCACAAAAATGGATATGTTCCAGGTGTGTGGGAGTGAGTCTCTTTTCCCCCCCCTTCTTCTTCTTCCCCTTTCCCTTCCCCACCTGCACCCCCTTCACCTCCGTTGCATACATGTGAGTCTGTCATAAATGTGGGCAGTAGTGTGCATGTTGGACTCGTTATACAGACCCTTTAATGAGCCCTTAATTAATGTACAGGTTTGGCGAATGAAGGGGACACTAGTCATGCATACTCAAGCTCCTTTCTATTGAGCATCCTAGTGTGATTCTCCCCCCCTCTTTCTGCAAGCGTTCAGCTTCTTTGGAGATGAATCTATTTTGGGGTGGGAAGGATGACCTGGCATGCCTGCTTGACCTCTGAAGTGCCGCTGTTAAAGTTGCTGTGAACTGGAGAGGTTGGAGTGTCCTCAGGTCACCCCTTTGACATGTGCAAGTGTATTTCCACACTTTGTTTTTTGTTTGTCCTCCCTTTTTGTGACATTATACGTTGCAGTCTTCTGCTCCCTCTCCTTTAAAAGGCATCACCTTTCCCCAAATATTATTTTATTAATATTATGATTATTAGGAAAGTACTGATGGACAGAATTGTACTATGGGTTTCCTTTTTTGTCAGTGACTTTTCTTTTTGTACTGTGCGTTTTAAAAAAAATTAAATGGATAAACTTGTCTTGTACATATATATATATATATATATATATATAAAAAAACATAAACACAAGTACTGTAGTCCATGTTTGTTCCATGGTTTTTTTTTTTCCTGCCCCTCTCAAGTCCTTACACACAGACTTAACGTTTTTGTTTCATAATGTGTTTTTTTTTTTTTTTATTTTGTAAAAAATATATATATATATAAATATTAAGTAAATAAACAGAGAAAAAGACATTTTCATCATTTTGGATGTGAATGTCTTTTTTAAGAAAACCACATTTCTGGATGTCCCGTGCTTTCTCAAGTCTTCCTTTTGTGCTGTTGTTGGAAGTTGGAAAACGTATCAGTTTAAAGTGAGACTACTTTAAAGTAGCGGTGGGTGATATGACTATATTTATTTTATAGTACTTCAAGAGCACTGAACTTTTATTACAAGAGCATAATTCTGGATAATTTAGTGCACTGCAGTATATGATGCACTGAATAAAAATAATTATTCTCATAGGTTTTCCTTTTTAAAGGGGGGAGAGGTGTTTCTGCTCTTATCAAGTCTCTTAAACAAAATAGCATGATGTGTATTGTGAGTCTTTAAGTATCACGTTACATTTTTGTCATATCGCCCATCGAATACTTTGAAAATGATCATTTGTTTGAGACTGTGGAGCCTTTCTGACTATAGATAAACAGGAGGTAACTTGTAATATTAATCCGGTAGAACCATAAACTGTGCATAGTCTATGGTTAGAACCATGTATAGATTTTTTTTTATTACAAGAAACTCACATTTGGGGAATACATACGGTACATCACACATACACGAAAGTTAATAGCTGACCAACAGTAGTATTCAGTATGTTGTAAGTTTTAGTAGCTTTGCTGTTCAAAGGCCTTGAAATATTGTCTATAGACATGTAAAGGGACTCTTTCAAAAATAAGATTGAAATTAGGTTTAGACTTCATAGCTCTGGCTTTCTGAATGTGGAACTTTCCTAGAAGACAGCATTGTTACAGCATTATTGAAGTGTATTTTGCTTGAGATTGTAAAACAAAAACCATGTCAGGAAATATCCAACAAGCTACTAAAACAAAAATAAGACCGCAATGTCCGTCCAAATTTCTTTTGGAGTGGGGATAGCTGTAAAATAAATGTTGAATTGTTTAATCTAACTTTTTGCAGAAGGAGCATTGAGGAGATATGGTATGGAAGAACTTACATAATACATCACATGAATAGTAGTTATGAAGGATCTTGAGTTTCTCTTATTTTTCTTTTGAAAAGCAATCCACAAAAAACATATATTTAAATTAGGGTATAATAAACTCCACTTGCAGCACACACTAAGCACACCTATCTCCTAAGATTAGGGATTTCCTGATAAAGTAAACATTACACTTTTTATCCAAAATACTGACCCCACTGTTTGAGAGTGAAGGAATGCTGCATGACAAAGAACCGTAGCTCGTGGTCCTGAATTTTCTTTGACTGAGTGGAATACAGTTTGTAACCTTTGTAAGATCTTTTACAGAAATTTGAATCCCTCTGAATGCCACAAAGTTCTCATAGGAATAGAAATCTGCTTGTTCATTCAGTAGTTCAATAAAAATATTGGGCCTCATTCAGTTTTAAATCGTTCTTGGGAAAAGTGTCCACGTGTGCACAGATTTTGTTCTCACCAAATCCCAAGAACAAATCCCAAAATAATAATAATAATAATAAATTTGGTGAACGCCAGAATCTTTGTGAAAATTGTGCAAGTGGGTTTTAATAAATTTCTTCGTAACAGCAGTTGAATGAGCCCCAATATTTGATAAATATTTATGATAAATAATGATTTCTTACTGGAGAACACCATTATTCCTTATGGTTAAATACGATCTTTCAAGAGATAAGTGCTTGTTTATAGAAATCAGAAAGTTTGACAGGCAGTTCACCATATTTAAAGTTGTAAGAAAGCAAAAATGCTGAGTTACCACAATGTTCAAAGGTTAAGTTGGGGACGCGGTACCAGGTCACGGTTAGAAATAGCCTCCTAATCCAATTTATTATGGTTGCTAAAGCAAGGCGCAACTATATTGTTATCCGACTTATATTATTATTCTTCTCTTTATTGTTCTTATTTTTCTGCCGTTTCTTTGCCGTGTAACTCGTCCCGCAGCTTTCGAGATATCAACTCCGTTGCAACTCCAGATTGTCCGGCCTGGTTGTGTGATGCGTGCTTGTATACAGCTTTTTGATCGGATGCACGGATTCCGTGTGGCAAGGGAATTTTGCGGAATTTTTTCCCATAGAGAATGAATGGGGTGAACATTTGCATGCCAATCTAAGGTACTTCTGCTGGTCCGATCGACACCATTTTTGATACACTATCTAAGGGCAGGTCCCCAAGCATGAATCCACTGTCGTTCTGACCCGCACTCATCCGTTTGTCGTTTTATTCCATCTTTCGTCTCTCTCATAGACTTGCATTGAGCGGACTGTTGGCAGCATGCCAGACATGATGTCACAATGGCCCATTAACTCACACACCCATCCAAACTCACGCACGGAGCCCAATGTCTCACCCGCTCCCAGCCTAATGCTCAGCAGTGTCAGCGCACATAATGATTTTTTTTAAGGTGGAACTGCTTTTAAGGTGGAATTGCACTTGGCTAGCACACGAACTAATCCACCACCATACTGACCCGCACTCCTCGTTGGGTCATTTTTTCATCCCTCGTTCCTCTCATTAAATCCCATTTATTTTCGCCACCAACTCTATTACTTCTTTGGCCAACGCCCATTGAAATGCAAGTACTCACTCAGGGCACCACTCCAAACTCTTATCCACAGCCATACTGACCCGCAGTCCTCTATTTGTCGTTTTTTCATCCCTCGTTCCGCCCTTAGAGTCCCATTCATTTTTCCACCAGTCAAACTCTATTGCTTTTTTACCCGACAGCCACCGAAATGCATGTACTCACTCAGGGCACATCCCCAAGCTCTAATCCATAGCCATACTGACCCGCACTCCTCTGTTTCTGATTTTTTCATCCCTCGTTCCTCCCTTAGAATCCCATTTATTTTCGCCACCACTCAAACTCTATTACTTCTTTACCCGACAGTCACCAAAATTCATGTACTCACTCAGAGCAGGTCCCCAAGCTCTAATCCACCACCATACTGACCTGCACTCCTCTATTTGTCGTTTTTTCATCCCTTGTTCCTCCCATATAGTCCCATTAATTTACGCCACGACTCAAACTCTCTTACTTCTTTGCCTGACAGTCGCCAAAATGCATGTACTCACTCAGGGCATGTACCCAAGGTCTAATCCACAGTCATACTGACCCACACTCTTCTATTTGTCGTTTTTTCATCACTTGTTCCTCCCATAGGGTCTCATTCATTGTTGCCACCAATTAAACTGTATTACTACTTTGCCCGACAGTCACTAAAATGCATGTACTCATTCAGGGCGGGTCCCCAAGCTCTAATCCACAGCCGTCCTGACCCGCACTCCTATATTTCTCATTTTTTCATCCCTCGTTCCTCCCATAGAGCCTCATTCCTTTTTGCCACCACTCAAACTCTTACTTCTTTGCATGACAGATGCCAAAATGCATGTACTCATTCAGGGCAGGTCCCCAAGCTCCTAATCCACATCTGTCCTGACCCGCACTCATCTATT